GTGATAATTTGTTTTTAATATTAATAAATATATTGATTATATTATATATTTTTATTTTAATTAATATACAGTATAATTAAAAATTGTAAAAATATTTTTTGACAGACATTTTTACAGTATAGTCTCAAAATGATATTATAAACAGTTGTTAATAATTGTTTTATTATTAAATCCATAGTTTTGAAAATAATATATTTATAAAAATTAAATGCCATTTATTTTAAAATATTTAATTTTGAAAATAAAAATAATAATATATTATTTAATAAATAAAATCAAATGATGACAATCGTATTTAAGATGTCAATTGATACTAACCGGAAGATATTTTTATTATACAATTTTGAGGACAAATGATTTGTAAAACAGATAACTTTTTAATTCAACTTAATTTAATTACAGTAATAATTAGCTTAATTTGTGTCATCAAAATAGTTTTCTTCTGTTATTATGATATTATTCAATTTTAAAATTTTATACTAATATTTTATAACTTAGAACTTAAATTATTTAAAAATTAAATTTATTTTAATAAAATTTTCTTAAAAAAATATATGATTTTTGTTTTGTTTACAACTAATGTGCAAATATTTAATGCAACATATGGTTTGAATTCTAATTAAAAATAGTTAGATATTATAAATGATAAGATATTTAAAATTTAAATTGTAAATGTAGTTTAAGTTATATTACTGTATATTACTCTAATACTGTATTAAATTTATTATATAATAAATACTTTAATATGTTTATAAAATATTATATTAATACAAAAAACTATTTGCTTTAAGTGGATATAAAGGTCAAACATACACAACGAGATTATTATTGACATTATAGGATACGATACGATATTTTACTTTCATATAATTATTTTCCTTAAAAGTTGTATATAAATCAATTTTTTTAAAATTTATTAACATAAATAAATTTAAGTTATAATCAAACAATAATAATCTATATAAATAGATATTTTTAATTAATAACATCTGAGACATTAATACAGGTTTTTCTGTAATACTTTAATAAAAACATTAATGATTTAATGATATGTAAATATTAAAATCTAATAATTATTTTACATTTTTTATTAAATATTATAATGAATATTAAAGCTTGAATAATTAAATATTACTGAAGTTTATAAAAATATATTTAATTGTGACCAGTGTTGGCAGAGACCAAATGTTTTTATAATACAAAGAGTAGTATACAGTATAATACAATGTAAAATACATGACCAATTTGGTTTACAAAAAAAAATTTAGCGCCACATAGTGCTAAAAGCATTGATATAAGCTAAGTAAATGATGTTTTATAATTAATATAGATTTAATATTATTTTTAAAAATAATTTATTAATTAAATTAATTAATTATTTGATTTTTATAACTTAGAAACAACGATAATAATAATAATAATGCATTTTCTAACAATTATATTTTTACTAAATATTTTTAAGTAATTTTTTTAACATAATATATATTAGTTTTTAAAATTTGTATAAAACATGCATTACATTGTATTTTACTGTATTATACAAAGTCAAAATTCAAAACCTTGTATTTTTCCAACCCTGATTGTGACATACTATCTTTTATATAAAATTTAAAAATTAGATTTAAATATTTTTAAACATCAAATAAATAAAACTGTTTGTTTAATAATTACATTAAATTAAACTTTAAATTATTAAATCGATTTGCATTAATAAAAGCATTAATGCATAAACTCATAGAAACTAAATTATAGAGTATTGCAAATAATTTTGTCGTTAGAAATGGGAAATCATTTAAATTAATTGCTTTTTATTGCACTATAAACTAAATATTTAATTACAATAATTGATTGATTTTTCACTATTGCTTTTGGTTAGAAATATTTTTCAATTATATTATAAGTTATTACTCTATAACTAACTTATATTGTAACTTATTTGTGACTTAAATTATAACTTATTTTATATCTTTTTAATCATTCAAATCAATTAATTATAATAAGCTTTCGATTAGTATACATAAACAACGTTATGTTTTTTGAATATTAATACAAATTATTGTAAACTTAATAATTTATATTTTATAATTACATAATACTTTTATCTTTAATTATATTCTTAAATTTTTTTATAATCAGCTATATATTTAAACAGTAAATTTATATTAATATTTAATGATGTGTTTATTGATATTTTTAAATTTAAAATTATATAAAACCAAATTTTAAAATAAGCAATGTAACATATTTTCAAGTAAAATTAGAGGTCGTATACTTATTTGATAATCACTGTTAAATGCTATCTATAATTAAAATATAAATTACAAATTTGAAAGAAATTTAAGTAAATTTATTTTAATCATAACTTTTAACAATACAGTAGTTTATAATTATAATATTTTACTAGTTTAGTAATTTATTTATTTATATAAAACTTAATATAAATTTTAATTAATAAATGATTTTTGTAATAATATAAATTATTATTAAATTAAATTTTATACTGGTATAAAAACAACTGTATATATATAGTATATGTTTTGTATAATTATAAACATTGATTTGTGTAGATTTGTATCATATCATACCATAGATTTTGCATAATATTTTTACGATTGATAAGTAAATTTTGAATATAGATTTTATTGATCTAGATTTTATATTAAATAAAACTTAAAATCAATTTATTATGTTACTTATGTCAAACTATATTTCAAAATAAAAATACAAAAATATTTAAAATATTTTACTTAAAGCTAAACATTGGCCATCAGTGAAATGTGTCAATCAATTAAAAAATACAATTTTAATAAAGGTTAATTTTCAAATTATTTAATAATTACAAATAATATTTATTTCTTATTACAAATTTAAATTATTTTAAATATTCATTAAAACAGATGAGATATATATTTTAAGACATAATTGAAAATAATTTTAATCGACACTAAAAATAACAATTAGAGAGACACTTGCGGTTAACAAACTCAGTGGCAATTACTTTATGGACTCAATAATCAACATAAAAGTTTGACACAAAAAATAAATGCAACAAATAAACATTTATATAAAGATACCCTCAATTATACGTAAATAAGATATTTCGATATTTAAATCATCACTATTTAAAAAAATATAAATAACATATTTTTTAGTAAACATCACAAAATCAAACTTGAATTGCAAAACACATATCTTAAACATTTCCTTTTAAAAATAAGTAATTATAATATTCAAAGATATATTTTTATTTATTATAACAATTATATTTGATTAAATAATTTATTGATATTTCAAAATTTTTACTATAATTTAATATTATTAAAATACAGTATTATAGTAAACATATTTTTTATAAATAAAATTTAATTTTTTAATAAATTAAAATAACTTTTAAAAATTAACAAATCAAAGTCACGATTATCAATGTATTATGTTTAAAAATATTAAAAATACACAATTTTAGAGTAAAATTTAAAATGCATAAAATTATGTATGAATCATTACAAAATTAAAGTATTTTAATTATAGACAATTATATTAATTATTTAAAATATTACTAAACATATATAAATAAAATGTTTATAATTATGATTACAATATATTACATAAATAAAATTATGAAAGTAGAAAATTAATTATAATTAAAATTATTTAAACTATTATAATATTATGACACTAATATACTTATTTTAATAATAACAATAAATTGTTATTAATTTTTACTAATTTAAAGGAAACAAAGATTTATAAAAGTAATTTGACATTTAAATTGTTTAAATTATTTAGTCAAGTGTTGATTACCTAATTATTTCAATAATTATTAATAAATACTTAACTATAGAATCCAAATCTAAATTTGAATTCAGGAAAACATTTTTATAATAACTTATCAAATGTTCAATTTTAATGATTTTAATGCTTACTTTATTGCACTTGAATCCTAAAATACATTCGTATAATATATTATACAAAATTATCTTAATTTAATTTACTTTTAAGTTATTTTATTAAAATGTATCTAATTAAATGCATCATAATTTACATTTGTATTTCAAATAAAAAAATAGACAATGTAAATGTAAAAACTAAAATATATTCATATTTGTTAAGCATATTTAAATATGGTTTTTAAACTATTGAATTAGGTTAGACATGAAATAAATATATATTATTAAAATCTCTCTCTCTCTCTCTCTCTCTCTCTCTCTCTCTCTCTCTCTCTCTTTCTGAGATAATATGAAAATAACTGTTAGCATAAAAACAAGATTTCCTGTTTTAACTGCAAAAAAGATGTGTTATTTTTTTAAGTACTTTATAATTCATATCTCATATTTAGAAAACATAATATGAGAAAGATTTTGAAAAATCAAGTCATTTGTAGTGTTGTAATCTATAAATAGAAACTCATTTATTTGTAATAACATTTTGTTGAGTATAAAAACTTGGACTTAAATAAATTTTAAACAAAAGTAAAGTAATAATGAAATATTCAAATATGGGTTCGTTTATTATATAATTGAAACTTTAATAAAACAATAAATAAACAAAAAATAGAATAACATTATACCAATCATGTACTATAATAATGTAATATCAATCTAGTATTATATTTATAACTATAATCTTAATAATTCTACTTCTAGTATGTATTGATTTTATTTTTTAAAATAATATTTTATTTATAATAGAATTATTAAAAATAATTTAAACAAAAAATACATTTTATTAAATTTTTTAAATAATACATTTCTGAATAACATTGGGTAAATGATATTATATAATATATTTTTAATAATATTAGATGTTTAAAAATGAGTTTTATTTAAACTTTACTTATAAAACATTTACAGTACATACACTTTGATGAATATATGATTTTAAAATACATTATTTGCATTTATTTTATAATATATTATAAAATATTATAAAATAGATGAAAAACTAATTAACTAAATATATATTACACATATATGTATTAATTAGTAAAATAGTTAGAAAAGTTATGCCCTTCCCTTGGCTTTGGCACCAGCTTTATATCCCTGATTGTGGGTCAATCCACCTGAAAACTGTTGTTGACCGCCATAACCACCGCCACCACCATTATATTGTTGTTGACCTCGACGTCCCTCTCCTTTGTGGACAACAGTGTGCACCTCTTCAATGACTGGTCTAATCTCTTGAGTCACTCGACGGTAAGGCTGAATGATTTCACGGACCTCTTGGATGACGGGCTTAACAACTTCGTGGACAACACGGTGTGGTTCGTCCTGGAAGGAGGCGTGCTCTACTTGGGGTGGGGAACCGGGTGTATGGCTCTGATGGACATTAACACGACTCGAACCAGTTTTGAAATGCACCTGAACTGGCACGTGATCGGGATTTACTTCTATGATTTGTGGCTGAGAGTAGTCCTGTTGTGTGGCCACTGGTCTCAACTCAACTGTCCTTCGTGTCTGAATAGCCGCATCATAGGCCGGTGCGCTACCATATCCTTGAACTGCATAGGGTAAGGGTTGGGACAATGTCTGTCCTCCATATGAAGCACCCGATGATAATTGTGCGACACTACCACTATAACCGCTGGCATTGCATCCAATGGCAAACAATACTACTACTGCAAGCTTTTGAGTGAAGTTTAAAATTTTAACAAAAGTTTATAATTTGTTTTTAAGATTAAATATTATTTTTATTATTATTAGTAAAATGTTTTTAAAAAAAATAATTGCTCTAACGTTATAAAATTTATTAGATATTTAAAATATTATTATATTTTAATTATATTAACATTAAGCATAAATTCAGGAAGTTTTGTTTCTAAGTTATAACTAATTATAAAATATATATTTAGCAAAATTAGAGTAATAGCTTATAGGCTTTTGGCATAAAATAATCTCTAACTTTTATTACATGATTTTTTAACTAAATATATCTTAAATATAAAAATTTCAACTAAAATAAATAAAAACTATAGATATGAAATAACATTATAGTTTATACTTTATTACTCAAATACTAATAAAACTATTAATAAATAATTCTTATAATTAATATTTATATTTAGATAAATTGTATGAAATATTGATAATCACTTACTCTATACATTATGAAACCGTTATTTAGTGAACACAAACACAAGTTTTATACAATCAATCGTTCAAATGGTATGAGAGTTGAATAACTTTCACTTAAGACTTGTTCTGTCTTTATATACGGCACTCAACTCTCAAACTTATTGGATGTTCACTTCAAGTCAGGTATACAGAGCACAGGTATACATACAATGCAGGTATTGCTGAATGCATTTGAATGGATGGCCAAAGAGTTTGCAGACCTGACAGAAATGGGAACACAAACAACACTTGAGATCTGGCTTTACCTCCAATTCATATCTTTTAAAATGACATTTAAATAATCTTTACATTTGACGACAGCTCTTGAGTGTAGCTCTTCTTTATAAGTAATATATTTAAAGTAATTTTTAAAACCACTTATTTATATTTATTTATTATTATTATTATTTATATTACAAAATCAGTGGGAAATCACTGGCTCTTCATATCTTATTTGAATATATATATATATATATCTATATATATATATATATATACTGTATATATGCTTTAAGTTGGCGATTGATTTATTTTTTTCAAAATTTAAATTTCTATTTCTAATTCAATAAACTATATTTGGTTTTCACATGGTATGGCCTATTAACATGTTGTGATGGGAAATTGAAAAAGTAATTTGACATTAAATTAGAGCACTTTTAGATCCAATATATTATAATAAAATATTGTATTTTTGTTCCCAAAAACGAGAACATCCTCTTATTCTTACATTATTATTATTAATGACCACTACTTACCTAACTGTCCCAATCATTGCTATTTTAAGTAATTTATGATAAATAACATATTCACAAAAGTAATAAATCTGATTAATATAATACAATCTATCAATGTATAAAAATACAATTTTTTTGTTTTGTTTTGAAAGGTCATAAACCAAATGACATATTCATTATATTTTATTTTTATTTTACACTATATTATCTACAGTATATAATTTTGATTGAGCCACAAAATGCTTGAAATTTATAATATTGAAACATATAAAAATAAATCATATACAGTTAATTACAAATTTTAAATTATAAATATTTTAGTATATTTTTTAATACTATAAAATTTAAGACTATACTTAGATTAAAATTTATTCATTGATATATTAACATAGATATTAATTGTTATACACTGTATAATACAATGTTATATGTTACAGCACATGTTATATCATATTGCATATAATCATTATTATATTTAAAGACTACAATAATAATAGCATAGTTTTAATAAAACACTTAGATATTTTAAGCATAAATAATATGTTTATTTTTATTAAATCATATGTAAATCATTATTTAACTTTATATGCAAAGTAAAGTTGTAAATGAAATTATTATTTTATTGTTTTTTAATATTTTAAAATATTATATAGGCTACAGTTTTGTAATATTTCACAATTAGTTTGTAATGCAGTCTTATACATTGTGTAACATTGTATAAAATCATTAAACATTAAAATATTGCTTATATTTATTTGTTAACAAAATATAAAAATTAATATTTTAATAAAGTATTATCAATATTAGATGTATAATACAGTATTTTCTAAACTTAATATCAAATTATGACCTCTTTATCAACAAATCAATAGTAAATGACATTTTGTTTTAATTGATTGTTAAACGTGTATTTAAAATTAATTGAAATATTTAGAAATATTTACATTAAAGCATTAAAATCATACATGAGCTATGTTTCTATAATATTTGTTATAACAATTTTATGATTTAATTGATGAATGTCTATAATAAAAAATATATTGATACAAATATAAAAACTACACAATTGATATATGAATAAAATTAATGAAATGTCTAAATATAATATAAATACTGACTAACTCGTAACTTATGAGTAATTATAATATGATATAAATATAAATATTATTTAATTAGTGTTTGGTTTTGGTTTTGATGAGATAGTGTTAATATACTAATGTTAGGCAAATAAAAATTACAGTATTATTAAAATTCATTATAATATAACAACAATTCTTGAATTTTTAAAAGAAAATCTCTATTTTTTAATTTTATTATATTTTCTAAAAATACAATTATTAGTACTTAATCATGAATTTAAAATTATTATTTTAATTGTTAACTTTCATTATATTAATAATCAATTATTATTTATAACATATTTTTATAATTTAAATTTATAAAGTTCTTATTATAAATTCTTAATAGTGTATTAATTATTTTTAATTAGACTTTTATTATCTTAAAATTTTGTATTGCAGTTATTTAATTACTAATCACTTGGTAAACTTAACAAAAATTATCTCAACTATTTTTATAAAATAAAAACAACAATTATTGCATAATATTTACATAAAGTTTACAAAAAAGAAAAAATGCAATAAATAATCACAAAAATAAAGTATAAATTAATATTACATCAGAATCTTATTTTTGTTAATAATTTACTTTTATTTCAGATGATTTAGATTTGATTTTTTAAATTTATAATTAAAATAATTGTGTAAAAATGTTGTTTCTAATTAAATATTGTCAAAAATAATAATATTTTTATTCTCCCAACACTTTTAAAACTAGTATATATTTAATATACTTATAAATGAGTTATAATTTTTTAATATTTCATTTACTATAATATAAACTGTTTTATTGATGATAAATGATATTGAGATTCATTTTATAAACAATTTGAATTTATTTTTTCAATAATAATTAATACTAACATATTGTGTGAATTATGACTTATTTGGTGATTTTCTCTTTATAAATAATTTGTTACAAATATATTGTGTAGATATTGTTTTGATTGTTATCACAATTATTGTAATAAATATCTACAATTGTGGCCGAAAACAAAAATTGGTTTAAATGTTACAAACGGTAGTAGTTATTAAAGTTTTTAAGTATAATATGCTTTATGACAAAAATATAAATAGATTTTTAAAATTTATTTATAAATAATTGTATTTATAATATTTTAAAATATATTTGCTCTATTAAATGATTTTTTTTCTATTACATTCAGCGTAAATTTATAAAATTGATAATTAATTGAGTATTATTAATTTTTATATTTTTAAACATCTATGCAACTCTTATATTATTTTTATATATCAAGCATAATAATTATTTAATCAAATAAATATTTATTTTATTTAATCATTACTTTCATTACTTCAATATATGTAAATAAAACTGTTTATTAAAATATCATCAGCTGTTTACAAATATTTATTTAATTGGCGAAGCAATTAGCGTTATATTTAGAGATGGGCAAATAGAAAGTTTCTATAAAATTTCTATAGAAATTTAACTTTATTGTGATACAATGGGATCCCCATAACTATATTAATGAGGCATAATAATAAACATATAATACTATATTAAATGTACAACACTATTATACAAAATTGTATATCTATATATAAAATACAGTAATTATAATTATTTTATAATAATCAGTTTTGTAAAATTTTATTCATTATTTTATTTTAATATAATTTTTAGTATAATATAATAAAATTAATTATTTTTTATTTAAATTAATAATTAAAATACTACTAATAATAATATTTAATTATTAATTGTAAAAACCATACATTGTTACAAAATAACCATGGGGATCCCATAGATAGAAATTTCTTTTAGAAACTTTCTAGAAATTTCTCTTTTTGCCAACACTAACTATATTCAATAAAAATAATCTTTTTGTTTGTTTATATATATATATAGAGAGAGTATATATATATCAGGGTTAAATAAGGGGGTAGGGCCAAAATGCACCTAAAATTTTGATTTTACCCCTTCAAGACTTTGACGAAATTAAAAAATGTTGTTTAAAAACGAAGAGAAATGACCTAATATTTTATTAAATGTTATTATGTTTTTTGAAACATATTAATGTAATTATTAAATAATAAAAAGTAAGATATTTAAAATCACTTAAAATTTGTTGAAAAGACAGTACAATTAAAATAGAATTTTAAGATAAATAAAGTTTGAAAAACAATATATACTGTTTATTATAATGTTTTTATTAATAACACTTTTAATTTTATAATTACTTGAATTAAAATTTAAATAATTAACGAACTAATAATTAATATTCAGTCAATATTTATATAACTAAAAATAACATTTTTTTAAATAAAAATTATTTATCTAAAACAAACATTAAAAATTGTTGTTATAAGTATTTTATTATTTAAAAATAATTAAAACACTAAAAATAACTCATAAACTATATATTAATGTATTTTTAAATTTTAAATACAGAATTATTTTATTTAAATTTTGTTAAAATTTAATAGTTTTATTAATTATAAAAAATATTTTGAGAAATAATGGAATTTATTGACAATATTTACCAATTTTCCTGGGAATTACTCTTGACTCCCCTTTTTTGGATTTTTGAAAAATTTAATAAAAGCTTTCGCTTCAAACTATATATTCCTCAATATTTTTGTCATTTGACTCCCTTATACTCCATTAAAATTCAAAATCTTCATAAACCTGATGTACAATATATATATATTTCTTTATTTTAATTATATTTAAACACTACATTATATTTTGGTAAAAAAGAATTATAATCAATAAATTATTTAATATAACACTTATTGCTAAATATATAGTTTATTTTTTAAAATTAAATTAAGTGTTTAAAGAGTTAAGTCACCATTTTATATGCTTTTCAGGAAATTTCCAGAAATTAGGAATAAAATTCCTAATAAATTCTTTAAATTTGGAGTATTTTCTTAATTTATTAAAAATGATATATATTTAAGAAAGTTATTATATTACAAATAGAATATTACCGTATTTTAAGATAATTATAATAAATTATACGATAAAATTTAATGATTTTATTATTTTAATTTTACATTATAAAGGAAGAATTATTATTCATTTTTAAATTTAAAGAATTTATTGGAAATATATTCCTACTTTCTGGTAATTTCCTCCCATTTACTTTGAATATTTGGGAATTTATTGAGAACTTGATCGCTAGATTTCAAAATTTAAAAAAATTGCCGTTTAATTTAAAAATGCAATAAAAAGGTATATATTTCCGATTTTTTCATTTTTTCCATTTCATACAACTTTTACTTTCCAATACTTTTTAAAGATCCAAACCATGTTTAACCCCTGATATAATATATATTATATATTGTATTATAAATCTAATTGCAAGTTTGTAATTTCAAATTGATGTCTATCTATTGAAAACATTGAATTATGTTATTTAAATAACATCTAAAAAAATTTGTGTGCTATGAAGTAAATAACTCATAATTTTATATAATATTTTTCAATGAATCGTATGATTATTTATCGATAGGAAATCAATAAAAATTAAGACATAAACATATTAACGACACTTTATATGTGATAACAAATCAATGGGACTTTTTTTTATTGATTCGGTTGTCAACAAGGGTTACCATCAATGTAATGGTTGTAATACACTAATCAACTCATTATTAGATAATTAATGTCGAAATCAGACATTTAGTAGTCATCTAAGTGTCTGTTGTTTAGAAAAAGCCTTCAAAAAAAACGATCATAAGTTAAAAGATTATGTATTTTATAATATTATTAAAGTTTTTTTTGTTTCGATGGCATAAATAAAACTATTAAAAATGCTTTATATTAATTTAGTATTATTACATTTATAGTAAATACTATCCTATGTATTATACATTTTCGTATTTTTTGATTATACTATGAAAACATCACAAATAATTATCACTAATAACAACAGTTAGATAATATTTTATAATATGTATGTTGTTTACAATACACAATAAAACAAACTATTTGTACACAAAGTTATTACATTTTCACTGATTCATACAAAATATATACGTATTTTTCATTAAAAATCTAGTTTTAAAATATTAATTAAAATTCAAGTTGACGTCAAAATTTCCAAATTAATCCCTGAATACCCATGACTTGCTATCAAATTAATCAAGAAAATGATTTACCAGTTTAGTTGTTTATAAAGTATATATATATATATATATCCATAATATTCATACAGTTATTTTTGTATATAACTTATACTGTATATGAATTTAGAAAAGTTAAGTAATATTAACTAATTATGCAATAGGTTTGTGATTTGACTAAAAACAGTGAGTGTTGGAAACAGAGGTTTTTCAATATAAATATAAGGCATTCAAGTCCTTGACTAAAGTCTCATCAATTGATAAGAAATAATATGAATAAATAAATGTATATTTTGGACACTTTTGACTAAATTGTATCCAATTATTTTTTGCTAAATGTTAATTAGGTTCATACAAAACTTTAATACAATTATAAGATTGCAATATTTAATTAACAAATTAATATAGATTTTTAGTAAAAATTTTCATATATTATAATAATCTTTTAGGTAACTAAAAATTATTAGTAACCTTAAAGCAGTTGAACGAGTTTTTGTTTTTAATTTCAATATTTAGAGATAACTAAATATTTTAAAAAAATATTTTACAAATATTTATCAAAAACTTTTCTATTTTATTTTTACTATATTTTTATTGAATTATTTTTAAATACTATTTATTTGTAATTAATGTAATCCATTATTATTATAAAGAGTTATTCATATTAAAATTGAATTTAATGTTTATGAAAATAATAAACTGATTATAGAGAAACAGTTTGTGACAAAATCTAATATAAATAAGAAAAACTAAAATATCATAAATTATGAGTCAAATGATGGTCTCATATATTTATTGAGTGATAGTTGTGATCATAAAATGATTTCTTGATTTGATAACACATTGAGCCGTACCTCACATGTGGTCTTAATTCTCATAAATACTGACTTATTATTAATATATTTGATTTAATGTAGTGTTTTGTGATTTGATAAGAAAGAGAGAGAAAGAGAGACATCATATCGACTAATAAATAATTTTATAAACGATTCCACTTTTAATAACTTTATATATTCATTGAATTTCTTTTTAATTTGTTTTGTTATTTTCATAATTTTAATTGTCATCATATAATAAACATATATATTTATATATAATAGATGTTATAATATGTCTGATAATATTGTTAATAAATTGTCAAAACTGGATCTCGACAATGACCTGGAAGATGATCAGTTGGAAATGCTTCAAGAAAAGTGTGGCATATTTGGGTGCATTGCCAATGGCGAGTGGCCCACTCCTCTCGATGTCGCACACATCATATGTCTAGGACTGGTCGGTCTTCAGCACAGGTATTTTTTTATTACCATAAGTATAATATATAACACATACCTAAAAATTGATTTCTTTAAAATAGCATCAATGAGTAGATATTTAAATTTTGTAGTAAATCTACTTATTTTTGTTATTGTTATGTTATTTTAGCTCTTTTTAATTATATATAAATATAATTTGTAAAAATTACATTACAAGTAAAATTTTTTAGCAATTATTTTTAAAAATTAATTGTTTAGTATATAATTGTAATTTTCAGTATTACATTAAGCATAATAGAAAATATTTTATTACATTTAATGCATTGTAGTAAATTAAATAATATATACATAATTATATTTATCTTTATTAAAAAAATATTTCTATTAAATGGTAGATTTTTATTTAATATACAATACAAACATTTATTAAATACTGTATTTTTCTAATTTCAGGGGTCAAGAGTCAGCCGGAATAGTAACCTGCAAATGGACTCACGGTTTGTGGTATTTGTTACTTATAAAAATGACAATTGAATAAAACAAAAATAAACCATATAATTGCTAATTATATTTTAGAAATATACAATTATTGTAAAAATTATATTTTTTTAGAATTGTATTGAGAATATAATAGATATTCAATGTTTGACCTAAACTTGTTTAAAATTTCTAACAATTCAATGTAAGATATGATTTAACTTAAAATTTAGTTCAAACGAAACAATTCAAACAATTGGTCATTATTACACATTATATATATATTTAAACAAATGTGATTTTATTTACAATATATAAATTTATTTTTTAGAGCCATTTTCAGTTCATCGAGGAATGGGTTTAGTATCTCAAGTGTTTAATGAGCCCATAATGATGACACTGAAAGGAAATCTGGGTATCGGTCACAATAGATATTCAACGGCTGGCGGTGCAGACAATATCCAATTAGCCCAACCATTTGTGGTACACACCTCTTATGGAGCAATAGCTATGGCCCATAACGGAGAGTTAGTCAATTCACAGACACTTAGAGAACGTATTCTCAGGAATGGTGTCGGACTTACCACAGGTTTTACATTTAATATTTCAATAGATTATTTGCTATACATTTTCATTTCAATAGGCTATAGCTATAACATTCAATTTTGCAAAATATTTTTGCAATTTTATCTTAAAATCACATCACACTATCACTAATCAAATTTGCTTATATTAAAGCTTAAAATTTATAAACAATTTCATCGATTTATAGAAATTTATTTATATATCATATGATTTATAGAAACTTTTATCAATTATTTTGTATAAACATCGCTATAATACTGTACTTGTATGTATATATTGTATTTTAGCTTTTTATATATAATTTAACAGTTTATGCTAATATTTGTTTTAAAACTTGAATATATTTATTTTTTATAATTATAAAATTTGCATTACATTGAATATATAAATACAATTGAAAATTAATTTAACAAAATGTTATATTTGTATTTTTGACGGTTAGGCAGTGACTCTGAGCTCATAACACAAGCACTGTCTATGGAACCGCCCCAACAGTTCAAACAATTTAATTATGAAAGAAGTAATAGTGTTAACAATTGTGACAAATGTTCGGTCGATCATAACGGACACGTATGTGACCACACATTTAGCCAATGATTTTGATATTTATTTTAATTATTGCACTGTTTTTTTAAATAGACTGAACACAAACAATCAGCTATTAATCCCTACGCTCAGAGCCATATGTCTCAAAAAGACTCCGATTTTGTGGCCAGAATTTTGCATGTATTGTAACTTTCATATTATATTATAAATTCATTATTAAATTAATAATATAAACACAATTCTTTAAAAATATATAATAAATTCAATAATTTATAGATATCTATATCAATAAATAATAGTTAAAATATTAGTTATGACTTTATAATAATAATTAAATAATATTTTTTGTTTGTGAAAATAGTTGATGTCATTGACACCTTTATCTTATTCATTGATTGTAATGTGGGACGAATGCATTTATGCCATTCGGGACCCATTTGGTAACCGACCCCTATGTTTGGGGGCTTTAGGTATTTGGTATAACTAAATGTTAAAATATAATATTTTAAATAAAATAATTATTTTGTTATTAATTTAAATAAAAGTCTCGTCAACCAATCAACTAAGTACTCAGGGTTTACCAAACAAAGTGGACGGTTGGGTGGTATCATCGGAATCGTGTTCATTTCCATCAGTTTGTGCCAAACTATATCGGGATGTATTGCCCGGAGAGATAGTCAAGTTAGAGAAGAATCGCAAACCTAAGACATTGGCAATAGTTCCTCGACCTGAGGGTAATAATTTGTGATTTTATTTACAAAATATATAAATATATATATATTATTAATAAAATGAATGTATGAATAGCTGCACCCCCGGCATTCTGTATTTTCGAGTACGTCTACTTTGCTCGACCAGACTCTATGATGGAGGGACAGGTCATTGATTATTAAAATATCTTAATTTTCTTTCTAATGTGTATTTAAATTATAATTTTAACTTTTTTTTCATATTATAGACTGTATATACAGTTCGTATGAAATGTGGTCAACAATTAGCCATCGAAGCGCCTGTTAATCCCATAACTAATGGCTTAACAAATGGTGAAACAGATCTTGGTTTTGCTTCAGACGACCTAATCGTAGCTCCCGTTCCCGAAACTGCTATTCCAGCTGCTTTGGGTTACGCCCAACAGGCAAAACTACCCTATGTTGAAGTATTCTGCAAAAATAGATATGTTGGTCAGTATATTATTGAAATCTGATAAATTTAAAGTGAATATAATTAAATTAATTTGTTATATAATAGGTCGTTCATTTATTCAGCCATCAATTAAATTAAGGCGTTTGGCAGTAGCAAAAAAGTTTGGACCCCTTTCCCAAAATTTTATTGGAAAATCAATTATTTTAATAGAAGACTCAATTGTTAGAGGTATGTCTATTTACAATACATTATAAGTATACAATAATTAAATAATATATCATATAATTATTACTATTTAGGGACAACTATTGGACAATTGATTCGTTTATTAAAAGATGCGGGTATGCAATAATTATTTTAATTATTTATTTGATATATTTAGTTATTTATTGTTATTTTTAAATATTTATTATTAAAATTGCCAGGTGCTAAAGAGGTCCATATAAGGTAATGAATAATTTAAAATTATTTAATAATAAAATACTTTATAACATAAATGTTTAACTTTAGGATTGCATCGCCAGCGCTACACTTCCCCTGTTATATGGGTATTAATATTCCTACAAAAGAGGAACTGGTGGCTAACCATCTCAAAGCTGAACAATTAGCTCAAACATTAGGTTAAAAAATATTGTTAATTTTTAAAAACTTATCAATTTATTTAACAATATTATGTAATTCAGGCGCCGCTTCTCTCGTGTACTTATCATTGGACGGCTTGAAAAAGTCGGTTCAGTCGGGAATTAGAGATGAAATGTTGAAAACAGATCCGGAATGGGAAGAGAGTGATCTACAAGAGAGGATCGGTCACTGCACCGCTTGTCTCACCGGACAATATCCGGTTAAATTGAGTTTTTAATTGATTGATATAACATTTTTTATACATTTATAAAAATATCATAAAAAATAAATATTTTACATTTGATAAACCTTGATACTAATTATCACTGATTATTTTTATAATGCCAGTAATTTTTATGTTAGTATCTATATTAAAGTATTAAAAATGTTAGCTAAAAAATTTATATAAAATATATTACATTTGACTAGTTATGATGAGATATTATTGATCTTATACTTTATTTTTTAAAGGTTTTATATTGTAAATGTAACAATAAGTTCAATTGCATTTAAAAACTCAAATTACATTTAACGAACAATTAGATAATATTTATAAAGTGTGATAAAATACAATTGTAAATATAAATAAACAAACTGTAGTTTAATAATTAGATTTTATGAAACAAATAATAATAATAAATTTTGATATTACTAAAAAACTATAAAATGTCAATTATAAATTTTTTATATAAAGTAAACAAACAACTTGTTAAGATATATATATTTTTATACTTATTATTTTAAGATAATAAACTAAGAAAAAGTATGCCATAAAATATTTTATATATTATACAATTAAAATAAGTTTATAGAGTAAGTATAAATATTTTTACATACTATATATAACTAAATATCATACAATTTGATAAATAGTGCAAATACATTGTATATCAGTTATCAATGATAACTTATCATAAATATTGTAATACAATGAACAATGATTGTACAATAATTATTGTACGATATTTGATATAATATTAATAATATAATACAAAAATAAATAAATACAAAAACAATACAAAAATGCTCATCAATTTTTAAAAAATTATTTATTAATACTGTATTTTATAATACAAAAATCTATTAGTACGGTAAATAAATATTTGTCATGTATTAAATGGCTTAAAGTATTATATTTAACTATCGATAAAATGCAAATAAAGCCAATTATCAATCTCTGGTAAATTTATTATTATTTTTATTGTAATAATTATTGGTCTCTTGTGGTAATATGTCATTATTATCGCTATTATTACTAATATTACTATTATTATCATTAATAATGTTATTATTTGTCCAATTTTGGAGTTGTGCCGAAGCAAAAAATATGTATACCAGTGCTGTGCCGATATAGACCCCACCCGTCACATAAAACACATACGACCAGGCCTTCAATGTTTGCTAATAAGAATAATTAAAATAAATTATTTTAAAACATAAAAACTAATTTTGTAAATATAATTAATACATTTCCATTAGTAAAAGCATTGGCCACAAGTGGTGCCAAAACTCCGGGCAAATTTCCTAAACTATTTGTAATACCCATCAAAGTTCCCGCATAATCGGGTGCCATATCAACGTGAGTACACATAAAACCAGAAAATATAAACCCATTTAAACCCATAGCAATGACAAATAGTGTAACACTGGCAGTCGTATCGCATTTGGCTATTATGACACCAATCAGACATACCATTGGTCCCAAAAATCCTGTCAATTGCATCAAAAATTATTATAACCGGTAAAATAATTTATTTATTTATTATTTTCAATAATTGTCAAAAATAACTTACCGACAGAATTGCAAACTTTTCTGATCCAATTAATTGGTATCTTTCCCTTTGAGCGCAATTTATCACTAATCCGTCCCACAATCCAACTCATGAGTGCACAGACGAGCCACGGAAGGCTCGACAAGAAACCATTCTTTAGATTTATTTAATTTTAAAATTTAATTAATCAAACGATTTAATAATGACAATACCGAAGCCAAATCCATTAATAAAATTTTTTCAAAATATGTTGGCAACAGAGTCAGCACAGTTAGGAATCCCCAGTTTTGTCCGAAATGAGTTATAACCAGTGCCCACATCGGCACTGATGTAACCATTTTCTTCCAGGGTATCGGTGCTCTCTTTTATATTTAAATTTATGTTATATTATTAATAAATATATGAATATAATTATAATACTGTACCTCTTTGACGGCTTCACTTCCCTGACCAGTCTTAATGAATTGCAATTCTTTGTGTGTGTGATATACGGATGTTTATCGGGACTTTCAAAGACGATAAACCCCCACAAAGCAAACCAAAGACAGCCCAAAATGCCGAGTATATAGAAAATTGAAGGCCAACCCCCCAAAAATGAACTGTTACAGAGATAACCGGCCACTGTATTAGTTATAACGGTACCGATCTGTGCGCCCGTGAATACTATTGTTGAGCCCAAACTTCTTTCCATTTTTGGCAACCATTTGGCTAACAAAGCATTCATTGTAGGAAATACCACCCCTTCAGCTAATCCCTGACCAACTCTGACAGCAAAATATGCGCTGTAACTCCAATCTGCGGCAACTGGACTGACCAATGATAATATGGCTGCTATGAGGACACTCGACCCGAATATCCATTTGGCTCCAAACTTTTCAGCCAACAAACCTCCCGGTATTTGAGTTATAATATACCCGTAAAAGAAAGCGCCTAAAAGTGAAGCTTTTTGAGTGTCTGTCCAATCAAATGCACCAGAAGTGCCACCACTTGAGCTGTTGTTACCGGCATTGGCTGCGCACTGATCACTCTTTTCTGATGTACCATTAGATCCTACCATCGCTACGATGGCTACACTTAGTACTACTTTGTAGCCATAAATGAGATTAAATCCAACAAAACCCATGAATACAAACAGATATCTCATAGGAATTATATGGAAACAACTGTTTCTCTCTTTCACAGAATCCACAGAATCGACACTATTCTGTGATTCAACACTATTGCTGTTTGTCTTCATTTTTTGTGTCAATACAAATAAATAAAGTGATGTTTTTATGTTTAATTATTTATAACAATTAAATGATTTATATGTTAGCATAAAATACAGTAATTTTAAATGTCATAGATATTTAAGTACAAAACAATTATACAAATACTTTATATTTTATCATTATTTTGATATCAATTGTCAATATTGTCAGCTCCTGTGGTACACTCTGTAAAATTATAGATACTATTTATACTAATCTATGCAATAATTTAATATAATGCACTTTCTATCAATCAATAATTTATGTTATCATTTAAGTTATTATTAGGCACTTTATAGTTGTTTTCACACATTATTAAATAATTTAATTAAAAAACTTACTTTAATTGAAAACACTTATAATTACTAAACTAGTGAATTGGTATACAATAATCTACAGTATATTGTTTCAGTGGTTATAAATTACATGTCAATGACAGTGTAATAGTGCTGATGATGGTATGCTGTTATCCACCCAAACAATGTCGATATATTGTACACAAATTCACTAGTTTAGTGATTATAAGTGTTTTCAATTAAAGTAAGTTTTTACTTAAATTATTTATGTTATCAATTATCAAATATTTTATTATCAAATTACAGTAATTTGAAATATTGTATATCGCATATACCCATTGTATTACTTGCCATTCCATAAAACTTTGTAAATTAAAAAATATATAATTTATGTATAATATTTATTTATGTAATATTTTTATGTATTTATATTATAACTCTCTAGCAATACATAAATTATGTTATAGTTATCACAATTAATTAATATAAGTTACCAATACTAATTTTACTATATTTACTAATATTTTACAATACTAATCATAGCTTTGAATTCACACTTAAGTATAATAATATTTGCTTAAAATATTAAAAATAAAACAAAACACAGATAATCCATATGTCTATTCATATGACTTATTTGATCACTAATAATGAACAATAGGTCTATTGTTGTCTCACTATAATATTTCAATCAATTTTACTTTAGTTTAAATTAAGTTACAATCAGGGTTGGAAAAATACAAGGTTTTCAATTTTGGCTTTGTAAAATACAGTAAAATACAATGTATTGGATGTATTTTACAATATAGAAAAATTACATTAACAATGATTACATTACATTATTATTACATAATTTCAATATCGTTATTAGAATCGTTGTTTTCTAAAACTATTAAAAATTAATATTAATTATTTTATTAATATATTTCAATACCAGAATTAAATTGAATAGCTAATTTCAATTTTTTCAAAATAAAAAAATTATTATTATTACAAAATGTGTGTTTGTTTATGAATTTTAGTATTTTTGTTACTAGGTGGCGCTAAAAATTTTTTGTAAGCCAAAATTGCCATGTAATTTACATTGTATTATACTGTACTTGTATTACGCTTTGTATTATACATACACTTTGTCTCTGCCAACACTGGTTACAATAGGTTAAGACGCGCGACAATAATATCTTAACAATTATATCTGTAAATTGAGGACCTATTCTATACTATAGAGTATAGAATATAAATATTTAAAATTTATACAAAAATAGTTTTTCAAAATTGTTATTCAATTATGATAACTTCAGTTTTGATTCCCATAATAATCAATTATATTCTTTTATCAATATTCTTAGTCATATATTTTTATTTCAATTACAACAGTAAATATAAAATTTAATTTCCTATAAATTTGTATAAATTTTTGTTATATTTTGTAGAACTTTTCAACAATTTGGAGAACGTTAAGACAACAGGTTATATTAAATTTTTTAAAAATTGATAAATTTGTTAATTAATAAATTATTAATTATCTATAGAATTATCCAATGGTGTCAAAAGTGGAGACAATAGTGACAAAAGCAAATCTGATTCAAATGAAACTCAATTGACTTTTAAGACAACAAAAAGTCAAAAATAATGTTAAAGTTATCGAAGTAGTTATTCGTTAATTTATTTTATTAGTGATTTTTCTTGTCTTTAATTTTATTAATAAATATTTAACCCAATTTTTGAAGAGTACTTTATTTGGAAATACAATATTCAATATATATTTTTTATATATTGTAATATATAAATAATAATGTAATATATAATATTGCAATATATATTGTATATACTGTACAATATTTAGCTACAATACAAATTGTTAGAATTTAATATATCATATAATTAATAAAGTCTAGTATGAATGTATAAAATCGTTGTTATTCACATATTTTACACTAAATTAATTGATATAAATTTATTATTGCAAATTTTTATCGCTTATTAAATGAGTACTTAATTAACTATTTTAATGTAATTATATTTTACTTGAACAATATATGATTTAGTAAACTAAGTTATTGAAGATTTAAAGTCTACTAAAGTACAGTATATTATTTCTTAATATTAATGTATTTTCGATTATCAATAAATCTATATTTTTAATATTTATAGATTAAACTAGTTTTTGACATTAAAATTCATTAATTTTAAAGTTATTCAGGGTTATATTATAAAAACGATAATGAATCATAACAATCCAGGGCTAAAATATTTATAAATAATATTCACAAATACATTAAATTTACATATTTAATGTAATACAAATGATCTTTTATTCAAGTAAAATAATATTAAATATTAAGTTATAATACAATGAATTTTATAATTAAGTTAAATTATTTGTCAAAATGAGTATAATATATGCGATTAATTGCTACAACTTTTTCTAAACATAACAAATGATAAGAAAAGTAAAACCAAAATATATGCCAAACTTGTTATATAACCGTAGAGGACGTTATCATCAAAAGCAGACCAATTTCTCAATAATATTGATCGCAAAGCATCTATAGGTAGTGTCAATGGAGTCATATATGAGATGATGTGTAGATATTTAGGTATGGCTTCAATTGGCCAAAACACGGCACTAATGAACCACATGGGAAACACTATACTAAACACTAGTATCTGCAAAATGTTAAATAATAAAATTAATAATTAGTCTTTGTTACAATTTATGTAAATTTATAATAATAAATAAAAACATTTTTATTATTTTTAGTGTATGTATTATCATAATCATCAAAATATAGATTTTTATCAATTTTTAGTCATTAATTTGGGACTTTACGTCCCTATCAATCGTCTGTATCATTGAGGAAATGCATAAATATTTTAAATAGAGAACCTTCGTCTCAATTTAGACAGACTTACAAATAGATTATCAAAATATTTATCAATATTAACTAAAATTCAAATCATTATAATTCAATGACAGTTTAAATTGAAAAATTTTATGTCTTTTAGAGATTAACTATGGATGTGATCACAGATTATTATTTTTTAATTTAATTCCTTATGTAAAAAATAATTGAATTAAAATATTAAATAATTTTATTGAAAGAATATGCAATAAATTGGACTCATGTTAATTTATCCAAGGGACTGTTCACATATTACGTTCGCACTTTTTAAGAAATCTAGACCCCTCCCCCTCTTTAGCAAAAGTTCGCTTTGGCTAACCCCCCTCCTGTCAAGTGCGAACGTAATATGTGAACCACGCCTAAACGGTTGGCAATTATTAAAATTTATTTAAACTATTTAAAATGTATTATATGCTATTTATATATATCTATTATTTATTTCGATACATACCAGTGCTATTGACTCCTCAGTATTCATGACAGAGATAAGTAGGCCAAAGCTCATGCCCTGTAAGCCCTGAAGCGTTATTAAAGCAAATGCATCCCAAACTGATCCCTTCAATGGTATGTCAAATAAGATAAATGAGAAAAACATGAGAAGAAAACATTTAGCGATAACACATAAGAAAATCATAATTATGTGAGATATTAGGATTTCTGATGAGTTCAGTCCCGCCACTAAACCCCTGTCCAGATGACCGTCTTTTCGCTCAATTACTATTAATAGAGACGAAAATAGCATAGTTGTCACATGTATTGTAGCGATGATAACACCCGGTGCTGTAAATTCATACAGCGTTGAGTCCATTTGTCCATAGATTGGTTTCTCAATAGTGAAAGGCAGTGATACTGCTCTTGGATTATAGCCCAGGGATAACATGTATTGATTCAAAAACTTTTGAGAACTTTCAAGAAATGAGTGGTAAATAAGTGGACTGACAGCTGAATAAGTCATATCCGCGTATACTTTGACCTGACTGTCCGCTATTTCCTCATCTGAAAGCTCGTATGGATTATGAATTCTTGCCTCAAGACTATTGCTGAAGTTTTGAGGGAACAGTAGTGCAAAATAGGACTTTCCATTAATTACCGAATTAATAGCTATGTCTTTATCTTTGTAATAGTCTTCACGAATTACATTGCGATCGATGTACTGAAGAAATTCGTGAGACAAATGATTGTCAATATCGGGCTTATGAACGGCTATCGGGATGTCTTGGGGTCGACTACCGGTGCAAATGCAAAACAGTGTGATTTGTATGACTGGTAACATAAGAAGCATCAATAAAATAATCGGATTTCTGGTAATCCTTATTTGACTTCTCCATAACAAAGCTTTAATGTGTTTCCAATCAATAACTTTCTTGTGTTTTGGACATAGATTTTGTATATTTCTTGAGACACCAATCGATTCGTTCAAATGTTTTGGTGACCTATCTATTGGTCTTTTGTTTTGTTTCTTTTCAATTGATATCTTAAGGAACGTCTCTTCCAATGTTAAGCACTCATATGTGTTCAACAACTCCCTGGGTTTAGACTGTATTAATAATGTTCCCGACTGTATATAAGCTATATTTGATGCATTTGTAGCCTCTTCCAGATAATGGGTTGTTATTACAACAGTAGTTCCTATAAACAATTGTTAAATATTTATATAATTTTTTATTATTAAATTGAGTAACATTTTAAAAATATTTCTTGATAATTAATTTGATATTAAATTTAATCAATTAAAGTTTTTAAATAAAAATTAAATATTCATTTATTATAATTATTTATTGTATGATAAAATATTTTTAATAATATAAAATGCAAATTAGAAAAACAATTTTTATCATAAATCTAATCAATTTCTATCGATCTAATAATCGATTAAATTCAATGACTAAATGTATCCAAATAATAATTTTCACTTAAATATAGGGAAATTAATATTTTTCTTATATTACATTATAAAATGATCATATATTTTGTCTGACAATAAACTATTATAATAAGTATAAAAACATACCATCAGTTTGACACATGTCCTCCAAATATTCCCAAATACGACACCTGAGTATAGAGTCGACACCAACAGTGGGCTCATCCAGTATAAGAAGTGGTGGCTTATGAAACATAGTAACAGCCATTGAGACCAATCTTTGTTGTCCTCCACTCAATTGTCCGATAAGTCTATCTTTTTGCGGTAAATTCAGTAAATCTTTCAAATGATTAATCCTTTCCTTTATTTTACTTAAATCCATGTCATATAATATACCGAAATAGTATAGCATTTCGGTTATTGTAAATTCACTGAATAAAGCTGTTTCTTGAGGCATATATCCAACACCTTTGCCGGGAATATTGGACTTTGAAGAAGAGGGACGGATACCAAACACTTTAATTATTCCACTCTTAGGCTGCAAACGACCCAAAACTAGCCTCAAAAGAGTAGTTTTTCCGCACCCACTCGTACCCAACAATCCAAATATACGACCTGTTTATTGATATTACTTTAAAATTAACAAATTTCTTATTAATTATTTAAAAATATCAAAACCTTTTGGTATTTTAATCGTAAGATTATTTAATATAAGATTATCCTTATTGTAACCGAAGTCAACTTTGTGGACATCAATAGCCGGTCGGGAGTCCAGTATTGAGTAAATGTTGTCATTTGTATAATTAAATGTATTATTTTTGTCAAATATATTGATACGAATCAATTGTGGCTCCATTTGTGACACTTTTTTATCACAGCATTCATATATTAAAAATTAAAATCATTATTAGATTAGCTTTACTTTAAATATTTTTTAAATGAAATGTTCAAGTTTAATGTCAAATCCAATTACTTGACAACTACTAAAAATTTATAATTTAAATTTAAAAGTACATAAAAACCATAAATTTATTTAAATAAACCAATCCTTGAGCTCAAGTTCAGGATAGTTCATACACTTTCATACAATTATTTAATTAAAAAAAGTTTTAATAAGAGATTATATTATTATTTGGCACTAATTTGCGACAAAGTTTTCCCATAAAAACAAAATTCAATAAATAAAATTAATAATATATTATGTTTATTATAACTTATAAAACAAGCAGTTGTTGTTAAGCGCAAGTCTATAAAAATTGAGTACAAATAAAACCGCAATTTATTTGATTTTTGCCTATAAAATATTGTGAACTCACATTTTTAACAGATTTGATATATTAACACAGTTTTTTAAAAGTGAAATTTTATTATAAACAAAACTTTTATACATGTAACTAATATATCATATAAAATAATTGTTAATTTTTACAATATATTAACAAACTATTACTTTTTTAAAAAATAGCACTTATCGCATAAGCGATAAAATCTATTATCAATGTTTGCATTAATATATTAATAATTTAATATAAAACTATATTTGACTGAAATATATAGGAATAATGGAGATTCATATAAGTAAAATAAAAACTTTTAATATGAAGGATAAATTTTAATATTATTAATATGCACTTAAAATGTATAAATATTATGTTGAAAACTATAGTACTATACAGTAGTTTATATAAAGCAAGATTTATTAAGATTAAGTAAAAATATACTGTAAATCAATCATACCTTTCATTATTACTAATCTTTTATGTCAATACAAATAATGATTAACACAATGCAAATAAAGTGCAAATAAAAGCAAATATTTAAATTATAATATAAACCAAACTCTTATCTTTCTAAAAGTTTTAATTAGGGTCTGTTAACATATTACGTTCGCATTTTTAAAGAAATCTACACCCCCTTTATATGTTCGAAATTGTTTGCATGTAGTCATTTTTAAAAATTACGTTCACACGTCCCAAACCGCTAACCCCCCCCCCACTGAAAAATAAAATATCTAAATGCGAACGTTCTTAAAATCTCTATCTCTCCCCTCCCCCTCGTTCACAAAAGTTCGCTTTGGTCGACCCCCTCCTCAAGTGCGAACGTAATGTGTGAATCACCTCTTAGAGAAACATTTAAAATTATTTTCATATTATCACAATTTACTATTAGCCACAAGGGTTGGAAAAATACAATGTTTTAGAATTTTTGATTGATTTCAGTGTATAATATTGCTTGTATTATACAATTTTTGAAACTAATATGTATTATGTTGAAAAATTAATAAAAAATATTTAGTAAAAATATAATTACTAGAAAATGCATTATTATTATTATAATCATTGTTTCTAAATAATAATAATTTAGATATAAAAAATAGAAATTCAATACAAAATAATATGTAATATATATTTATTATAAAACATGACTTACTTTGCTTATATCAATTCTTTTAGCATAAGGTGGTACTAAATTGGTCATGTATTATACATTGTATTATACTCTATAAGGCGTGGTTCACATATTACGTTCGCACTTTTTAAGAAATCTAGACCCCCTCCCCTATGTTTGTAATTGTTCGCATGTAATCATTTAAAAAAATACGTTCGCATGTCCCTAACCGCTACCCCCCCTCCACCACAAGAAATAAAATATTTAAATGCGAACGTTCTTAAAGTCTCTACCCTCCCCTCCCCCTCGTTCGTAAAAGTTCGCTTTGGCTTACCCCCCCCCTCCCCTCAAGTGCGAACGTAATATGTGAACCACGCCTAATACGTTTTGTATAATACAAACATGTTGTCTCTGTCAACCCTATTAGCTATTAAATTATCTGATACTTGAACTAAACATAATTTTATATATTTATATAGAAATAATATTATTTCTACTTTTTGGTAAAGCTTTTATTTACATATGAAATACAAAAACATTTTATACGTGATATTAAGTGTATATAATTTAATACATGTCTATATTTTTTAAATAAATAAGTTAACAAATAATGTTATTGAGTAAAATGTTTATATTAAAAATAAAATTACATTATTTACAAAGCTTTAGAAAATAATAAATAGTTTTGCATAAAAATATATAAAAGTTAAAAACAAATACAATAATTACTTTTTTTTTAAAACTTTACAATTATAATAATTAATTAAATATATAATAAACATTTAGTATTCAAAAATTACAATATTTTAAATTAATTATATGCTCTGTATTTATTATTACGTATCAAAAAATAAAATAGTAAAATTTAATATAATTTAGTAAAAATATTAAAACAATAAGACTAATAACAACTATTTAATTAGGTTTTATTTGTTTATTTATATTAAAAATCACTTAACATTTATTTTTTTGTTTTAATATTAAATTTTATATAAGGCGTGGTTCAAATATTACGTTCGCACTTGAGGGGGGGGGGTTAGCCAAAGCGAACTTTTGCGAACGAGGGGAAGGGGAGGAGTAGAAACTTTAAGAACGTTCGCATTTAGATATTTTATTTCTTGTGGTGGAGGGGTAGCGGTTAGGGATATGCGAACGTATTTTTTTTAAATACTTACATTCGAACATAGGGGAGGGAGGGGTCTAGATTTCTTAAAAAGTGCGAACGTAATATGTGAACCACGCCTAATTGAAAAAAAACTACGTTGAAGGCGCCAAAATTGGTTGGGGCTCTAACTTGTTGGCTTTAGACCAGGGGAGGGGTTAAGACCCAAAAAAATCTCGATCCCAAGTGGGGATTGTAAGATGTCTTACCCCCACCCCATTAGTAACACTGGTATTATATCCATATATTTTGTAATATTATATTTATAGCGATGTAATTAAATTTTTAATTATGAAATATTTGATGTATTGATAGTATTTTAAATATTTTTTTTGAAAATTATAAAAATAAATTAATGATAATTTATTAAAATTAAATCATTTTTTAAATAATAATAGTAAATATAAAATTAATATAATTATTATAATATAAATAAACAAAATATTATTTAATAATTTACACAATAATATTAATTAATAGATAATAATAATAATAATATCTATTATTGTGTAAATTATTATTATTATTATTATTATTATTATTATTATTATTATTATTATTATTATTATTATTATTATTATTATTATTATTATTATTATTATTATTATTATTAAATATAAATATTAATTAAAGTTATATTTGCTAATAATTAATTAAATACAATTACATATTGAATTTCTCCTTTTAATTAATTCTTAATTTAATATTAAGACATGTCATTGAAATTGTATTTTGAATTTCAATTCCATATAACTTATTTTTGATGCTTAATTCAAATCTAAGAATTAAATATTAAATTTTTGTACTTTTCGGCCGCCATTTTATTTAAATAAATAAATCATTTAATGATAATATCATATAAATATTTAAAGTATATACTTAATCCAAATCTGAAGTCAAAATTTTAAAATTCAATAAAAAGCGGACAGAAGGACATATTGAATTCAGATATGTACTCCTTTCAGGAGTTCGTGAATATTGTACATCAATAATATCAATAACTTTTATAACTAATAACGGAAACAATAGAGATATCTATTCTTGTATTTTAACCTAAAAATCTAGTTTTTGTATCTTCGGTGTCATTATTATAATACAAACAATGTTTCAAATATTGTTATATATTGTTATATATTGTTATTACATCCTATATTAGAGTTCAATACAATCAATGATAGCACTACTAAAGCTACACATTGTTACTAAATATACCAACATTTTGAAGAAAACACTTTAATTGGAATGTTTTGTAGATATATATATATATATAGTAACAAAAATTGTTTACATATATAATATATGATATATTAATTAATTTGATAAAAGTTGGCGAAACTGTATTGTAATAATGAGAGTACAGAAGTAATAACAATATTTGGGGATAAAATATATTATTTCAATGTTAAGTAATAGACATAATGTGTATTCAATAGAGTTATTAATACTACATTATTTGTCGCCAACTTTTATCAAACTAATTAATATATGTAAACAATTTTGGTTACTATGATATATGTGTCTAATAAACATTTGCATCAGTGTTTTCTTCAAATGTTTGTATATTAATATACAGTATATTAATCAAGGTTGGAAAATACAAGGTTTTCAATTATGACTTTCTATAATAAAATAAAATACAATGTAATGCATGTATTATACAAATTTTAAAACTGTCGACCATAGAGGACAACACATACACACCGCACATACAGACATTACATCCATTTCCTCCTTTTAGTAACGTTTTGTCTCTCAACCCCATCATTACATGTAATCGTTATAATTATCGTTATTTAAATCATTCAATCAAACTATCGTTTGATGTAATTGTCGGCCTCTTGTTTGACAAAACTAATATATATTATGTTAAAAAATTACTATAAAATATTTAGTAAAAATATAATTACTAGAAAATGCATTATTATTATCATTATTACAATCGTTTCTAAGTTATAAAAATCAAATAATTTTAAATAAAAAATGAAATTCAATAAAAAAAATAATATTAAATCTATATTTATTATAAAACATGGTTTAGTTTGGTTATATCAATGCTTTAAGAAAATTAATAAACATAAATGTTTTATATATCATTTGGGGTAATGATGTTTGGCTTGTTTTTTCAAATTATAGACTAAATAATCCGGTTTTTAAACTGATATAATTTGCATGTATCTAATTATGACATTAAAATGTGGTTTTATATATATATATATATATATATATATATATTAAAATATAGTTCATTGATGTACTAAATAATTAAAAATAATGGCAGTTGTAAGTCATACAGTCATACAGTAGTTGGAAAGACAGACAAGTAAACCATAGTTTATAATTATAGGGAATCTTCACTTAAATCTAAACAAGTGTTAGGTTTAAGAAATAGATATGAATTGGAGGTAAAGCCAGATCTCAAGTGTTGTTTGTGTTCCCATTTCTGTTAGGTCTGCAAACTCTTTGGCCATCCATTCAAATGCATTCAGCAATACCTGCATTGTATGTATACCTGTGCTCTGTATACCTGACTTGAAGTGAACATCCAATAAGTTTGAGAGTTGAGTGCCGTATATAAAGACAGAACAAGTCTTAAGTGAAAGTTATTCAACTCTCACACCATTTGTTGACTAAACGACTCTTTCTATAAGTGTATCACTTATTAGTCTATGATTTAGTTTATAATTTATTATTTATATATATATTGTGTCCATTCACTGCTTATTTGAATCATTACTACAAATTTTGTTCACATAAGGACATACATAATGTTCAAAGTAAGTAATGTTTATTTTATAATTATTGATTATAAAATACAATTAAATTTATTATATGTAATAATAGTAAATATAATAATTATTTTCAAACTTTCTTCAAACTATTTTATAATTTATAAATTTAGTATTGTATTATTATATTTTTTTTAATAAATATATCTCTTAAAGTTACTCTACATTACAATATTTAAAAATATCATTTAAATTAGTTTATAGTTAACTTTCTTTTGCTCTCTCTCTCTCTCTCTCTCTCTCTCTCTCTCTCTCTCTTTTACTCTATTTGTGTATTTATCTATCTATTTTTTCATATTTATTTTTATTAATTTATTTAAATGCAAATTGATATTGTTAATATTGACAAATTGATAAAATACCAATATTTAAAGTATAATTTAAATTGAACTAATAATTAACAGTAAAATAAAAAATAGTTTTACTTTTCACATACATATAATTATTATCTACAAGACTTCCTGATTTATTAGCAATAAAATCTTAAAACATTATCTTTTTATTTATTGAAATAATATTGATTATAATTTGTCAATTATTTAGTGCAAATAAAACAAAAAATTTCATTTCAAAAAAACAAAAACTATGTTATCTCTATTACTATTAATTTATATGGATTTTTAATTAAACAACTTGTATAACAACCGGTCAAAAAATAAACAAAATATACTCCACTTTTATTAATTCAACTGATATGAGTGAAAATTATTATTAAATTTTGATTTATTGTCTGCAATTTGAACTATCTATTAATCATCTAAAAAAATCAATGCCTTTAAAGTACACATTAATATTAATAACATTTTGCTACCACTATTACTTTCAATATTACATAATACAGTATTATATTATTACAATATTTATATATCTTTATTTTATTTAATTTATTTTGAAATCTAGATTAAGAAATAATATATCGTTAATAATTTAAGCAAATTATTACGAATATTATTATTTTTAAACAAACAATAGTTATTACTTAATAATTAATTTTCTGTTTAGTATTTAGCTATACTATTATTGGCTATTGGCTGTAAGGCCGAAGAAGCTCAACCTGTGGACAGCGCACAGGTAGCCTCTGGATCAGTACTGACTAGTCTGACAGGACTGGGAGGTGCATACGCTGATTTTCAAAAGCAAATCCTGGCCTCACAACCACCAGAAAAGACATTTACTTTAAGAGCTGGTGAAGCATTGCCCGCACATTATGGAACTCCACAAGTGGTGTCATCAGGTCCTGACCATCAGGAGCTGGTTGTACAGCACCCACAGCCTCGAAAAATCCTAGTCCGTGTTGTTAAGCCTATCATATTTGAGGAACGCATTGTTATTGTACCATATCGTCGAGTGACACATGAAGTGCGACCAGTTATTGAAGAAAGACATACAGTTATCTATGGAAAAGATGGCAAACAAATTGGTGGACAGGGAGACTCCAAGTCCTCGTCATACCCCGTGGCTTCAGCATCGGGTGCCTCAAGTCGTGTTGTTGCACAACCTGTTTATACCGAACCAATTGTCCGCAAAGTGGGCCAAACATTAACTAAAAGGACGTCCATTGACTTTTCGGCCGGCAGTCGTCCCAATCCTCTTGAGAACAGACGTTCACAAAGAGACAGAATTATGAGCAGAATTCACGCTCAGAGAGAGAGGCGTTAGCTTTAGGAGGCGTTTGTTGTGATTTTATGTCCATTTATTTTATAATTCAATTGTCTTTTACTTTCTAAATCATATATTTCATTATTTGTATTATATTATTATTGTAATACTATTATATTATTAATTATAAATTAATTAATATTCTCAGCCAAATAATTAATTTTAATAAACATTTGTTGATTTTTTTTAACTTAAAAAAGCGAGAGAAAGTACTTTGGATTATTTTTAATTATTTAGTACATCAATGAACTATATTTTAAAATTTATAAAAACCACATTTTAATGTCATAATTAGATACATGCAAATTATATCAGATTAAAAACCGGATTATTTAGTCTATAATTTGAAAAAACAAACCAAACATCATTGCCCCAAATGATATGTAAAACATTTATTTTTAAATATTTTAAAAATAATTTGTAATACAATTTTTATATAAAGTATATGCTATGAAATAACTAATATGACATTATATATATATTTTATTTATATGAATGTTTTTAAATAAAAATTTTTTATTTGACTAAACTTTTATTTGCAATACATATACATTCAATACTCATGTAATTTATCTATTTTTTAGTTGCCTTAAAAACACATTCAATATAAACCTAATTAGCATAACTACAGATATAGATGTTTATCAAAATTATGCCAATACTGTATGGTTTATAAATATTTTACTTTGAATGCATTTGCCATAAATCCACTTTCTTATCATAATATCTTATTTTTAATATAAAAGATACCATTTTTTATTATCATTCAATAATATATTTGTTAAATACTTATATTTTCTAAAGCGCCAAAAATAGTACACAAAATGCAAATGTCAACACAGTTTCACATAGATTTTTATTATCTATATTTAGCTTATTTTTAAAAATTTATTACTATTTTTACAAAATTTTTATGTATTCATTTTACTAATAATGTATATGATTTTATACAGAAAATACTATATTTTTTATTTTTTTATTTAATTATAAAAATTGTTAGTTTAGAAAAGTTTTTTTAATGTAATTTATATGATTGTATAATTTATTATATACAGCATTTTATTATTATTATTAGTTCGTTATTATAATTATTATTAAAAAGTTTATTATATTATAAAAAGTAAATCATATAAATTAATATTGTTAACATTTCAAAACAATATTAATCATATTTTGAATAAATTTTAGTATTTAAAAAATAATTTAAACTTAATTATATTTTAAAAGTTTAGCATTGAAATTGATATCATATTATATAATTCAGTATATTTACTATTGTATATATTTAATGCATAAATAAAAATTGATTTTCGTTTTGCTTTTGATTTTTTTGTTTATTATAATAAAATTTTTGTTTAACTTGATTTCATATGTATAAATGAGATTGAAATTTGGCCCCAATTAATTTAAACAAAATGCAGATTTTAATAATGTTAAATATAAACTATTGTATAATATTATTAAATGCTATGAAATTAATAGTTCTGATATTTTAATAAATTTCTAAATCTAAATAATAAAACAACTATATTTTAAAATGTAGTTAATTAATGCAAAAATACATGTTACAGCAAATTAATTAAAAAAATTATATTAGTAATATTATTTATACATAAATTATTTCAATTATTATATTAATTCTTCAAAATGAAATTAATTTGTAATTCTTATCATATTATAAAAGATTAAATTTCTCAAATAATGTCAAATTTTATATATCTATTAATATGATTATTATATCTGTATTTTCAAATGTGGAAAATAACGTTAGACTTTCATATAAAAAGTTAGCCTGCTCACACTTAATTTTAATCACTATTATACTGTATACATCATACTGTTAACACATTTTATATTACAAAAAATACATTTAATTTTTGTATAAAGTATTAAGTGAGTATAGTAAATTATATAGTGTTAAAAACTGTAATAGCAAACATTGTAATCAATAAATATTAATTTAATATAAATTTTAGTTTTATATTTGATTGATCGGCTTTATCTAAAACAAAAGTCACTGTTATTGCAATCATACATTGATTTAATTACTATGATAAAGTTTTAATATTAAATTTTAGGTTATTTGTATGCAAATAATTGTACCCAACCCTGAGCTAACTGTACCCAAAACTTTGCAATATATACAGTATATACCTAACATATTTGTTATCTAATTGTTATCTATTATAATATATCTAATTATACTGTATTAAATACTTTATTTGTGAATAAAAATACAATTGCTTAATAAAATTATTGATGTTTTAAATAATTTAAGAGCATTTAAAATTGATAAGAAAAGTTTTAATGCAAATATTAATTTTATTATATTTTTATTAAATTTATAATATTTGTTTTTTTAGATAAATAATTTATTTTTTCATAATTTATAACTATTAAAATCTAAAATTGAATAGTAATAATAAATGATATTATATATGTGTCAAATTATAGAACTACAATATAAGTGATAATAATTTGAAAATATATTGTTGATACATTACAACATTACATTAATAAAAATAATTTTATAAAAAATAGTTTTAATTTTTTTTTTAAATTTATTTTATGTTTAGCAAAACAAATTTGTAATTTTCACAAATAACTATTAGTAAATCTAAAAATAAAAAGTTATATTTAAAAAATTGTTAATATTTTTTATAATAACCCCAAAAGCATTTATTCTCATCTCTCACACTATAGTATAGTGTATTAATTCATACATCACTTGAATATTAAGTGATTTTAGAAATTTGTATCACGACTTGACTCATCCCGTAAAACAAGTATATCATTAATAAATACAATCCATAAAAAGTTTATAAAAATATGTTTATTTAAATATACTAATACTTTATTAAAATTAAAATAAAATCCAATCTATTGAGCGCAACATACATATAGTCAGGGTTGCGATCTGAAGGGTAGGGGTTAAGACCGACTTACCCCCTGAAACCAAAATTTTAGAAATTTGACCCACACTTTCTCGGAAATGAGAAACGACCCCCTTTAATTTATAAAAATTAAAATTTTAATTAAAATTTGATAATTAACTAGTACTATATTTTTATAACTTATTTACATGAAATTAATAAGTAAAGATAAGTAAAATAGTTAAAATTAAGTTAGAATTTTAAAAACTTGTCAAAAATAAGGGAATTTATTTGGAACATTATCCTATTTTCCTGGGAATTTCCTCCCATTACATGGGATTTTTCGGGAACTTTGAGAACTTTTTTCATGGCCTTCCTTGATTTTCAAATTTTGAACAAATAAGTCGACACTCGCAGTACCCCTAACTAAGATTTTTTGATATTTTTGTCAGTTGATCCCCCAATACCCCTCTAGACCAAAAAATTTGCGCAACCTTGCGTACAGTATATAAAAGTATAAAATATTAATAATTATTATTATATTAACTCTCACTTTTTTTATTAAGAAAATATTGCTATGACTTTAAAATTATAACTATTTTTGCAAACGTGATGTTAGTCTAAACTAATAAATGGCAATAAAATATTAATTGAAATAAAGATAAATGTGTAATAAAAATAATATTTAAACATATTTATAGATATGTAATGAGATTTAAACGATTATTCAACTTTTAGCATATTTCGAAAGCAATATATATTTTTAATTTTGGTTAATTAGATTTTATAAATTATTTTATGTTTCAATAAGAGATTATAATAAGACATTATAATAAAACATTATAAATACTTTTTAATTTAATAAAAATAAATAAATATACAAAACTTGTCAAAACACTTATTAAAATTTATTGCACTAATATTTATAACAATTGTTAAGCTACTCATACTAATCATAAAATATAATTAAAGTAAATAATTAGTAATAATTCTCAAATTGTTTTTAATCAAGGTTAATTATAGTATATAAGTTTATTTATGAAAAATATTAATTTAATTGTACTGTTTAACAATTGTAGTAGATTTTGCAAATAATTTGTATTAATATAGATTTATATTTACTTAAATATCTAAATCATTATATATAGTATATAATTTTATTTAGAAATTTCATTATTAAAAATTTCAGTAATTGTAATAATTATACAATATTGTAAATTACAATTGTTACAATTACAATGTAATATACATGTATAATTTAAATACCCTATATTGCATATATATAAAATAGTGTATATAATTTAAATTCACATATATTTTATTCAATAAATTAATTAAACCTTAAATGTACAGTATAATTAATATTTTTAAAAAATAATATTTTATGAGTTTAATCTAATTTATTAGTAATCTTTTATAAGTAGTAAACTTTTTATTTATTATATTTTATAAAAATAATATTTGTATTCAATTTTTAACTCTTTTATTTATTAAATTGATGGCAAATAATAGTTAAGTGCTATAAATATTATAATTAATTAGATAATTACATACAAAGGAAGTCAGTTATTATTTTTCATATATAATAAAAACCAAATACTTTCTTTCAATCTATTTATAGCTAGTGTTTCATTTAAAACCAATAATTAATTATGAATTTATACATATATAATAATATATAGTTTTTTATTTATATTTATATGTAATCATTATTTAAATATAACTACTCACGACATGTCAGTGAATATTATAAACTTTATAATATGTTATGTAATAAATGCAATGCAAACATATTGTTATAATAATTTTAATGTCTTTTATTATTACTTTTTTTTAACTGTACTATATAGAAGTTATATAACTTGTTGAAGTGGGAAATATATATTGTAATATAGTATATAGTATACAGGTGATTACTATTATTAATATTATTAAAATTAATAAAGTAATTTAAATTTCAATGCAATCTATAATTATAAAATTAAACAAATTAGATCACTTAAAAATTATTGCAATTAATGTTTTATTGTTTATCTACAAATGATTTTCCACACAACTAGTATTTGAATATTTCTTATAAATACTGTATTTATAATTATAATATTATTGTTTGTTATAAATTAGTTTGTATTTATAAATATATTAAATTAGAATAATAAATAAATACTAAATTTTTGAAATCTAAAAAAATAAATATATTATTAATATTATTATATTTATTATTATTAATAAAATTTGTTTTTAGTGATATACATTATTATGGAAAAAATTGTTCTACATTATCAACAAATATTTAAAAAATTGTATATAATAAATTAATAAAAACATTTATAGTTTATTATTATTATTATTAAAAACTAGTTTTGTCTTTTAATTAATTATTAATATTTTTATAAATAAACAGACAAAATAACTAATTAAATACTATATTGCTTCATTGTAAATAAGAAAAAATTATTATAAGACTTTATTAATTTAAAATATTTAATAAATTTATTACAAAACATCTGAAGAAAAAGCAATTTATTGTAAAAGATTTTCATTATTTTCAAATAAGATATTTGTGTTCTTATAAATAGAAATTTGAAATTAAGTTTTAAAAAAAGTCAAATCATATATACTGTATATTAATTAAATGATGCATTAATTCATTTTCTTGTTTTGATTTTCCAAAACTTTCACATTTTTTCTGTTTCTTGGGATTTCTGATGGAATTTATTTTAATGTCATACCATCTATTGAATCATAATCTAAAAATTTTATTATATGTTTGTAAGACACGTGTATTTGTTAATTATATAATAACTTCATATCAGTCTTATTATTGAAAAGTAGTATTAAATTTAGTGATTTATATAAATATAGTTATTTATTTAGAGAAATCAAAATTATTAATAAACTATATATACTTCAATATAAATTTAGTTTTATGCTTAGTATTGTAGTTTTTGTATTTTTTATTGTGATGTTATAAAGTAAAATATATTTTTGTAAGAGAGAGAAAATTTATTTGGAAATTTATTTTTTGAAAAATTACCAACTCTAATTATATAGTAATTAAATCATTCTACTGTAAAATGTACAATTAAATGTTTAGTCATTAAGTAATACATAAATTTTGATACATCACATTATATCTAAACTGATAATCAGGATCATTTTGGCGATTTATAAATTTGTATATAAAAACAATTATAAATCAATCTTTTCAAATATTATTAACTATACAATAAATATATGCAAACAAAATAATATTTATTAAAACTAAATTACATGAAAAAATAATAAATGCAAATTTTAGACTTAAAAGTTATTGTTGTTTATCTAATGTAGATTAAAGTATACTTAATTAATAATTTACATAACTAAGCCTAGCATATTAGTTATACTGTACGATATAATTAACTTAGTAAAAAATTAATTATATATATATATATATATATATATATATATATGATAAAAAATTTAACAATTACAAAGTTATAACTATTTTTATATAAAAGTTAAAACAATTTAAAAATAATTAATTTAATAAGAGATAGAAGTTAAGATGAAAATATAAAGATTTTAAAGCAAACAATGATTTTATGTAATTTTTATATAATATAATTTTTAATAAACATTTTAAAGAAGACATTTAGTAAATAATACAATACATTACTAATATTTTATTATAAAATCTTTATTTTATATTTCGTTTATATATACAATATATACTGTATATACTATACAGTCCTGCGGCCGAAAAATCACTCTCTATTATTACGTCATGTAATCATGTTATATATATATATATATATATATATATATATAGATATATATTATATATATATATATATATATATATATCTATATGTAAATCTATATATTATATATAACAATAATTTTTTATGTATTATAATATATAGTATAAGTTATGTTGATTATAAAAGAAACAAATGATTAAAAACCATAAAACTAACATTTTATAACAGTTTTTAAAATTTAGTAGTTTTCAAATATGACACTGATCAATTTACTGAATGACATATTTTTAAAGTCTGGTATGTTGTCTATACATAAATTTAAAGACAACGGAGTTTAGTAGTACAACCCAATGCCCACTACTTTCATGTAATATAATGCGAAAATGTTGGATAAATTATATCAAATCATAAATTTTAAAAAGTTTTAAACATATGAAATCATCTATATATGTAGACTATACTCTATATATATAACTAAAAAATATAACTCAATTATAAATTGCTTTTAAATACAAGCTTATAGATAGCAATGAACTTTTTATTTGAGTCTAATAAAACTCATTGATATAAACTATACTATTTGTTACACATATTTCATCTCATGAATCCTTAAGTTATTTCAATTATAAGATTTACATTTTCAGCCAAAAGAGCACTTAATGGTTAAGTCAGAAACCTTTTATCGGAAGTGACAATCATTTTGTTTTTTAGGTTGTCTTTTGGGGTCATACCTGTGAATATCGACGGTTAAGTAGTCGTACACACCGTTATATAATTAACTTTTCATAAATTACAAAATCAATTGCCATTAATTCATGGATCTAATTATTATCATATAGTTTATGACTGTTTTTATTTAATACTTTTTAAAAATGTGTTATTATTTTTTTATACGTCTATAATACTATTTGACAAATAATTAATTTAAAAATCAGACACAACTCTTAAATATTTATACGCAAAAAACAGTTAATGTGTTTTAATTTGATGATGTTTTGAAAATAAGATCTATATATTGATATTAAAAAACTATGTATGAAATGGAAAGTAATATATGATTATTACCATAATTTACAACTTTAGGCACTCATACATACATTTCCGTTGATAACAAATCTAGTAATACTATTACTAACAGACATTTGGATAAATAAGTGACAAATTTAAGTGACAATTAAAGATCAGTTGTAAAAGTGTGTCTCACTTTGTCTTCTCATTAATAATTCACTTCCCATTTCATACATCACATAACCAATTGATTCATTACATATGTATGTATCTGACCCGCCATTCCTCTAAATGACATACTATTTCTAAACAGCGATAGTATTAGACTTTAATAGAAAAAGTTTCGGTATATAAGAGTTAATCGACAATCAAATGTTATGTATTAGTTAATTAGCGGATCGGTTATTAGGAGCTATTAGTTTAACGAAACAAGATATTGAATTTTTCCACACTTTAAAAACATGTATAAAGTAATGAATCGCAATATTATTTTTTTAATAATTCAACTTAAAAACTAATAAAATATTATTTAAGATTTTTATAGTGTTATTGTCCACAACCTATGTCTATGGCTATGGTTCCAGTGGTGGAGACAGTTATGGTTCACTATCCGGAGGATTTACTGCTGGTTCTGCATATCACAGTTCAGGGGGTGCTTTAAGTGGACTGTTAGCTTCTTTACCATTGGGAGCACCCAGTCTTGGTTTTGCAAGTGGTGGTCTCGTTGGTTCAATGGGACTAACAGGTGGTCATGTTTCTGGTCATCCCGTGTCCGTTGCTGTTAACACAAAGCGAACCTTTGAAGTGGTTCGGGTGCCGGTAAACCACGAAATACCTGTACCACAAGTTATAGATGTTGAGCCTAGTCTACAACCAGTTCAGGTTGTTTTCAGATCGGCCTCCAGTCCCGTTCACGTCCAACAGTTTCACACACCAGGAAAGCCCGGACGGGTTGAGTCAACTCAGTCAGAGGATGAGCCGCACAGAGTGCTTCACGAAGTAACCCGTCCTGTCATTCAAGAAGTTCGTGAAGTTATTCAACCCTATCGTCGAGTCATACAAGAAGTGAGACCTGTTGTTGAAGAAGTTCATACTGTTGTAGCCAAAGGTGAGAATAGAGGACATTCGGGAAATTCAGGACATTCAGCAAATTCTGGACATTCGGGAGGGATTTCGGGAGGGATTTCGGGACATTCTGGTTTGGGAGGTCTCGGTGCGTATGAAGAGGCCACTCCTATACTGATAGAAGAGGCTCCTTTGGCCGGTGGTTTTGTTGGGGGTCTAGAACTTAATGACAATTCATTGACCTACGGAGCTACCCGTCCCAGTGCTGGTGGATATAGAAAGAAAGCCCGACGAGCAAAGGCTGCCGCTTAAGAAGTTAATCGTGTGATTCATATCATTATTTTCAGTTTTTTGCCGCTATATTGTCTTTGTGTTATAAAATGTTATTTATTTGCAATAAATTGACAATTATATCAGTATTTATAATTTTAAAACATCTTATTATTGTCAATACATTTTTTATTTTCAAATAATAATAATAAAATATCATTTATGATACAAAAATATTTTTTATTTGTTTACTAAATTTTGATACTATTCATTATAATAAAATTGTTTGTATTTAATTTTTTGACAATTATTAAAATATTAATAAAATATAAATTAATATAGTTAAAATCTTTTAGTTTGACTCTAATTAATAACACAAATAAAAATTATTTAAACAAATGTAGAGTTTCTTATTAAAGAGACTTATCGTTAAGCAAAACTATTTGAAAGTATAATTTATATTCAATCATAATCTTAATCAATAAATATTAGTTATTATAATAAAATAAAGTTTAATATATAAAATTAGTCTCAAAATATATGGACAAACATTTCTTATTTTATAACTTATCTATAGATAAATGGAAAATAATAATACTTTATTTGAAACTATGATTTCTTGCAAAAAAAGATTGAATATATGTTTTGACATTTTTAATAATTTTTGGATAGTTTTCAAAGAAAAATATCATAAAAATAATTTTTTTAAATTTATATTTTGCTATTAATTTTCAAATTTATATTTCATATATTTATCTTTATTATCATTTATTTAAATTAAAAATAGTAAATATAAATCAGTATTAAATAATAAATTGCAATAAAAATATTTTTGTGAAAATCTAAAATTTTAAGTGTTTGTAATTTGTAATAAATTATTAATTTTATTGGTAATTAATAAACATTAGTAATTATCAATTTATTTTATATGACATTTGCAACTAAATCAAATTTAAAGCAACATATTGTTATTATTATCTTCAAAATATATAAACAATTTTTATTTTTAATATTTAATTTCAATTATTACCGGTAATCAAAACGTAAAATTGTTATTCAATAAAAATTGATATATTTATATTATATTAATATATCAATATTAAATAAATAACTTAACAAATAATGATTAAAACTATGTAATAAAATATAATTATACATAAATTGCTTAATTTATAAATAAAAGTCAGTTGGCATACATCTTAGTTTACAATAAACATAATAAAACATAACTTTAGTGTAATTTAATGTTTTGATGACCGGGTTTTGATTAGTTGTAAAATTTTTAAGTAATGCTTAAATACTAAGTGAACTATATTTTTGTTAATGATTTCATCAAATTATTTATGATATTCATCGATAGTATAAAGTGTATCACATATTATCTCATAAACTTTCTAATTCTCTCTATAAGTAAAATTTTTTGGTAGATATTTGTCAAACAAAATCATTAAAACAGTAGTAAATCACTGTAAAGGGTCACCGATTTAATTGAATGTGAAATGAGACAAATAAATATCAATTTACACTTATTTTTTTCCTTTTGTGATAACAAGAGTTTTATGTCAAATAGATGTTCAAAAACCAAATGAGTATATAAACCGAATGTAAAAACAAACAAAAGTATTATTTCATTATTTTTGAAAGAATAATCAATACTTTGATATTATATAACTTTTTAAATATTTTAACTAAATTATACCAAAAAAAAATGTTTTCCGTAAGTTTCAAACTAAAGTAAAATATCAATAATGTATATATAAAATATATTTTTGTTATATTTTGCAGTATATGATACTCACATTTGTTGGTCTGGGATGTGTTACGGCTTATAGCGCTCATGGAGGTTATTCGGGACTTTCATATGGCTCTGCTTTTGCAGCTCCTGCTTATGGACAAAGTTATGGTCAAAGTTATGGTCATTATGAGGGTCCATATTCAGCTGCAGTTCATAGTAGACGTACACACGAAGTGATTCCGGTGCCCACAGTTGAAGAGCCGGCTAAACTGACTCAGATTAATGTTGACGGTGTCTTCAATCCTGTGGCCATCAAATTTGTTTCGAAATCAAGTCCAGTACTAATTGACCAAGTTCACATTCCTGGTGAACCGGGTCGTCATCAAGAAACACATTCACAGGAAGAGCCACATACAGTGGTCCATACAGTGACCCGTCCCGTCATCCAAGAGGTTCGTGAAGTTATTCAACCCTATCGTCGAGTCCAACAAGAGATCAGACCAGTTCTCGAAGAGATAAACACTGTTGTGGCCAAAGGTACTCAAAGAGCCCAAGTAGTAGAACCAGTAGCAGTGGCCGCACCCGCTGTTATTGCTGCTCCAGCTGTAACCGTAGCCGAAGCACCCATAGCTATAGCATCTCCTGTAGCTTTTGCAGCTCAACCAGCTTTAGTAGAGACTGGCGCAGCAAATGCTGGTTTTGCTTTTGGTTCACTTGGACACAGTGGACACAGTGGACACAGTGGATACAGTGGAGCCATTAAAGTTGGTATAGCTAGACATGGATATTAAAATGTTTTTTTTAGATAATATCTCCATTTAATTATAAAATTTTTATTATTTTAATCATTCAAAAATCATAACTTAAAATATGAGAATTCGTGTATTTAAAATTATATTATTTAAATAAAAATACATGTTTTATTATTTAAATATCATTTATTTAATTTGTTTTCAATTTTCTAAACTTTATTGTAAATTTTATTGTAGTAAATTAAGATAATTAAGTAAATTTTAATATTTATTTAGGGGTGATTCACATTTAAGGGGAGGGGTCGGCCAAAGCGAACTTTTGCAAAAGAGGGGAGGGAGGGGTAGAGATCTTAAGAACGTTCACATTTAGATATTTTATTTTTTAGTGGTGGTGGTGGGGGGGGGTTAGCAGTTAGGGACATGTGAACGAAATTTTTAAAAATGACTACATGCGAACAATTGCGAACATAGGAGAGGGAGGGGATCTAGATTTCTTAAAAAGTGTGGACGTAATATGTGAACAGCCCCATATCAGATTATTTAGTACAATAATTGTTTGTCGCATACAATTATTGTGAGATTGTTTAAACTTACCGGTAATGCAAAGTTGGTTTAGTAAGGATTTTATAGTTGTTAACATTATTTTGAAAATGTAAATAAGTATAATTAATTTTATTATAATGACAATTTTTTGATTTAATATTAAATAATCTATATAATTTAACTAATCATATAATAAAATTAATTATAATTATGTTCTAATTTATAAATTGATAATTTTTATATAAATATAGTTTAATAATAAACTATTTTGTAAATAAAGTTGTTTTTATAATGCAATAATTTATATTAATTTATAAACTAATTATTCTTATAATACTATTCAATATAGTTATTGTTATAATAGTGTTATTATATTTGTAGTATAAATGCATAAATGCAATACTACTATCAATAGAATAAATCCATTGAGTTATAAAATATTATTTATAATAAAATTTTAAATAAATTTATCAATTTTTTTATAATTTTAATTTATTAAGAATAGTTTATTAAAAATATTTATTATAGTTAACATGTATATAATTTATAGGAATGTCATTAATTTATATTAAATATATTAATTAAAATACAATTTTATTTATGCTTTTCTAGACTTATAGCCAGTGTTGGCGGTTAGTCCGTGAACGGCACCATATGGTTGAGCAATGGGAACAGCAACCGGTGCAGCATATTGTGCAGTACCTACTGGTGAAGCAAACTGTTGTGCTCTTTCACCTTTTGCTACCACTGTATGTATCTCTTCAAGAACTGGTCTGACTTCTTGTGTCACTCGACGATATGGTTGAATAATTTCTCTGATATGTTGTATTACTGGACGAACGACTTCGTGGACAACAGTGTGCGGTTCCTCTTCAGTTCGGGTCGACTCAACTTGACCTCCACGTGTTGGTGTATGGAGTTGTTGGATATGGACTTTAGCGCCTTGCGATCGAAACAACACCTGAACGGGTTGGTCATCGCCTGCTACTTCAATTACTTGCGGTTCAATATGTGCCGGTTCAAAATGGGTGGGCGCCACCTCTACTGATCGATGTGAATGTATTGGTTGAGGTGATGCAAATGAACCTAACGGAAGACGACCTCCCAATCCAAAAGCCGAAGATAGAGGTAGAGATTGGTGTCCGAAACCAATTGGTTTGTTTATATGAGATGAGAGGCCACCGGTTAATATGGCGGAGTGAGATCCGCCGTAATCATCTCTGCCTACCTGTCCGTTATAATCATATGCATGACAACAAACAAACAACAGGACAACAATAAAAACCTAAAAAATAAATATTCAAAATTACTTAATTGTATTAAACAAAATTAAAAACAAAACTATAGACAAACTTGAAACATGTTTAGTGAAAAATAAATAATAAAAATACGATGGGATTAATGACAAGTCAGACAAACTCCAAACACATTCACATTTATAAAATCATTCAAATGATTAAAATTGAGTCCAAAATTTTGGATTTTATAGTTTAACTAATTGTGAACTAATTGTGAACTAAAACGTTGAAAAACCTCAAATTGTTTGAAAAAAATATTTATGTTATAATAATATTGATGATATTTCTATTAACGAGAAAACAGTTTTAATTTAATACATTAAAAAATTAAAACTTTTTTATGTTTGATATAAAAATGTGATAAATTTGTCACACATCTCATAATATTATAGTATTAAATAAAAGTGTTCTTATTTTTTATAAATATATTTATTATTATAATATATTTTAATTTATAATATCTGTATTTTTGAAATCTCATAAAAATCAAGTAACCAAAAAAGTAAATTATCAAACATTGATCAGCAATGGGAGCTCATTACTAAAATTACTATACCGGTAGTAAAGTATAATATTTCTAAAGTTTACGTATTAATAGACAATATAATTGAAAAAAATATATATACAGATATACGGCATACATAGAGTATATATATATATTTATCTGAATTATAAGATTTTAGTCAAAACAAGTAGTCTTTTGAGACTAAAAGTAAAATACTTTTGAAGGGTATTATTGGATGAGATTTTTTTTTAATAAAAAATATAGTTTAATGAGTCGTTTTGTTTTTTTCTACGGTAGAGATTCCCAAAAATGATTTCAATAAAAATAAGTTTATCACAAATTATCGCAAATTACTATTCAATTTATAATATATTTTAAACGGAAGAATTAAAATTATTTTAATTTTTAATAATTAGTATATAAACTGCTTTAAAATGAGTTACTTTTTTTGACTAATGATTAGATAGTGCCATATCTTTAATATACTGTAATGTAAATAACTTTATATACAATTTAAGACAAATTAATAATAGCATTATCTAACAGAAAGGTTATAATTAAAAAATATTAAATAATTGTTGTTTACTTTTAAAGTTATTTTTACTGTACGTTTGAATAAATTAAATCAAGTTTAATATATAGTCATAGATTTCATAAATGTTTTGTTGCAGTGATTACATTGTTTATAGATATTATTAATGTAATTACACATTATTAATGCTTTAAATCAATTTACATACTGTATTATCTACAGTATTATAAAATGTAATTTTATTAATATATAATATTTTGTACAGTATATATAAATTTAGTAATACTGTAGATAGTCTGTAATATACTGTCTTTATTTAGTAATATGAAAATTAGAAATTTATTATTAAAAAATTGCATAAAAATTATTTTACGAATTAATTATAGAGAAATACTCCTTTTCGAGTATATCTAACATCGTTTGGTTATTTGAATGCATTTTTCGGTGATAATAGTTTTCAGTGACTTTTTCCAGATCTTTCTCAGTGTACTTGAGTTCAAGTCTTTGTTGTAATACTTTAAGGAAACTGTAGCCAAACTGTTTGGTCGGTTCAATACCAGTTCCCTCTCCATAGTCATTCCAAGTGGACACTTGTAGATAATTAATACCAAAAGCACGCGCCAAATCAAATGTCTTTTCAAATGTGTCGACACTGACAGGTATGGTCCACGTGGGTCCGTCCCAACCACCCTTAGCATAGGATGACTCAAAACCAGGATAACCGCAGCCAAACTTGAGAGGAGACTGTTCTCTATAATGATAAAAGTTTTGAAGGCCTTCCAAATAGTTGCTGTAAATCCATGCAAACTCTCCTTTGGCTACATCTCCTCCGTCATCCTTTCGGTTCCAAAGAACTAGAAATGTAGGCTTTGTTGTGAACACTTGGAAAAGCTCTTCGTATTGAGTTTTGGTAAGAGTTTGCGGACCAAAGTCTAGCAATAGTGGGGCGCTATTCACTTGAATATAGTTTTTATGGCTAAACATCTTATCTCTCAAGTACTGCATATCAAGCTTTCCCTGAGCCATGATATCGGGGATGAGGTGTGCGTCGTGACCCATACCAAGGTTATGGTCTTCATATACAATAGCAAACTCAAGACCAACTTTTTCACATCCTTTTATTATAGCTTCTACATTAGCAAAATTGCCAGGGTAGTCCCAAATTTTGGCGGTTCCCGGCCAATCAATTAGGACACCTGTTACACCTGATAGCTTCATGAGTCCCAATTGCCAGTCTATGACGTGACTGTCTCCCGAAGCGTACAAATCAATGAGTGGGTAATATTTGGCGGCTATTTGTCTTCGACCGGTTGCGTCCTTTATTTCTGGATTCATGTTTTTCATTGACCAGTGTTGACCCCACACGCCCTTAGGGTCGGGATTAGTGTCTTTGGTCTCAAACCATGGCATCATATGTATATAAACTTTAATAGAAGTGTCATTATGTGGTCTATAACAGTCAGGTGATCCAACTCCAGGTCCCCAACAATAACCGGCAGCTTTGCATTGAACTTCAGATTTGTGTCCATCTTCTCGTACCTCAACCGGCAGATCACATCCCGTATGAATGGGAGGGTTGGGACTGCTGTGGGATTTGCTAACAAACAGCAAAAACAGTAAAATCAATGATGTCTTTGAAATTGTCATATTCTGTGTTTTACTTGTTTTTACATTTTTTAATTTATATAATATTTTGTTATCTTATAAAAACTAAACACTTATTTTATAATTATAACAAATTTAATTTTTCTATTGTAATCTTAAATTATTGATAAATAATCAATTTTTTATAAGTTTATTAAGTGATAAATAATTAATTATAATATAATAATACTAATTATCTGTTTAATAATTATAATGACAAAATTAATAAACTATTAAATGCACTTATAAATACAATTTTTTATTAATTTTTATTTTTCAATTAAACAGTTCACATAATTATCTAATATTTTATAAAAACAATTTTCAATTATAAGCAATTAATTCAAAATGTTTTTTAAAAACTTACTGTACTATTTCATGTCAAATCGCATTTAAGTATAATTGTTATAAATATACAGTATATATAAAATATTGGTAAAATTATTCAATTAAAAATACATTATCTACTAAAATTTAATCATTTAGTATTTATTAAAAAATGTTATACTGTAGTGCAAACAATAATAATGTATAATATAAATGTTACAAAATGTTTATTCATAATAATTTAGTTTAAATTTTCTATTTGTATATAGAATTTCAATACAATATTAATTAATAGTAAATATTTATATTAGCAACAAATGGCATATACTGTAGATACTGTAGATGTATTAAATATAATTTTGCTTAATATAACCGAAACAATTTTTATAGCAAAGTGTAATATTTAATATGTCGCGAAAATGTTATTAATTTTATATATCATTGTTTTGTTTATTAATAATTTTTCATTTCAGATGAATTGTTTGATATTAGAAATGTCCAAATTTGTGTCAATCAAATATTATAGAAAAATACAAAAAAAAAATAAAATAAAAATCATTTCTAAAATCTTTAAACGAAATTTTCTCTCTATTTTAATTATATTAAATAACTATTAATTTAATATTACAATCTATAATTATTTGTAAAATTTTTATTTTTATTTTAAATATAATAATAATATAATTTAATTATATAATAAATTTGGGTTATATTAACTAGATTACTTTTGGTGTTATATATAATATAGTATATTAATTTAATTAAGTGTCTATTAAGTTAGTTTGCAAGTTTTTACACATTGTATTCAACAATTATTATCAATAAAGACATTCACTAATTATTACTATTTCTTTTCAATCCTATTAACTGATAAATATTTTTACAATATATTAAGTTGATATAATAACATTAATATTTTATTTGTATTATTTTATAATTTTAAGTATTGATTTATAACTTAACATTATAAATTTCATTATTTGTAAATACTTATCAAAATTTTTAAATAATACAATTATTTTAAACGCAATAATACTTAAATCTCATTTAGTTAAACATAAAGTTTGTAGTCAACATTTAAAATATATTTTAGCTAATAAGTAAAGTTAGTATACTAGAGTATACTAATTATTTCTATTTTATATTTATATTTGAGAAATTGTAAAATAAAAGAAAATGTCATAAAATATTAATCGTAAAACTGATTGTCATTTAATTAATATTATTCTATTAAAACAATGAATCCATGAAATGATAACTCATATCAAGTGGAGTGCAAATTATAAATATAATTTAGTAAAGAATTAGTACTTAAGTATATGAAAAATGAAATGAATTAAATATCTTAAATAAATTAATTTTTATTTTAAATTACATTTTATAATTAATGTTTATTTAACAGAACTTAAATAAAATTATTTTTTATACGTTAATCATAAATAACTTTTGAATTATGAAAATAATTTTTAAATCATGACAAACTAATTATTTATATTTTGTTTAAGTTTAAAAAAATACTATATTAATGACACATTATTTTGACATTTAATTGAATTTGAAATACAAAAGTGACCCAACAATGGTAGCGGTAGTACACAACAGATCTAATGGAAAGTTATGTTTTGTGTTTATTCCTTCGCGTTATATATTTTTATTGTTGATGTCTTTGGGTTTATTTCTGGTTTATGCGTTTAAAGGATTTTTAGGGGTAGCAATCGTAGCAATGGTTAAACACCAAAACACATCTAAACTAATTGACTCCGAGTGTCCCGCAGATGACTCTGAAAACGGTTACAATAATAATGGAAAATCGGGTGAATTTGAGTGGACAGACAGCCAACAAACTCTAGTTTTGGGCGCTTTTTTCTATGGATATGTTGTGACCCAAATCCCGGCCGGAATCGCTGCAGAGAAGATTGGCGCCAAATGGATGTTTGCATTGAGTTTATTAATCACTGGCATATTGTCTTTATTAGGACCGGTCGCGGCTCGTTTGGGCCAAAACTCAATTATACCATTTTTCTTGACACGTTTAGGACAGGGATTAGCACAAGGAATGATACTTCCCTGTATGAACACTATGATAGCTAAATGGATGCCTAAAACTGAGAGAAGTCGTGCCATTTCAATCACATTTGCCGGTTCGGCTATGGGATCGGTAGTTAGCTTACCATTAACTGGATATCTATGCGATGAATCATTTTTGGGCGGTTGGCCCGCAATTTTTTATCTGTTGGGAATCGCCGCTTGCGTTTGGGTTGTGTTTTGGATATTATTTGTATTTGAATCACCCGACACTCATCCATATATATCACAAATTGAGTATAACCTAATCAAAAAAGGACAGGGAGATGAAATTATTACTTCAGTTAGTAATTGTTAAGTTTATTCAAATAATTTTTATTAATTGTTTTAAAATTTAAATATAGAAAAGACAAATACCGTGGAAATCAATACTAACCTCATATCACGTTTACGCCTCTATTGTCGCACATTTTGGTTTCAATTGGGGATATCTCACACTTTTGACACTTTTGCCCACATATTTCACTAATATTTTGCATATGAATATCAAAACAGTATTCTATATAATTTAATAATAATAATAATAATTTGGTTTTGATTTAGTTTTATAATACTGAATATTACTAATAACTGTCAGAATGGGCTCATCTCAAGTCTACCTTATATTGCAAATACAATAGTCTCGTGTTTGGCCTCATATATAACCGACAAATTAAGGGAAAGGGGAGTCAATATAACTTTGTTAAGAAAGATTAACAATTCAATTGGTAATATAATATAAGTAAAAAATATTATAATTATCAATAATATAATCTATTATTATTAATAATTTCAAGCATTTTTTGGAACCGGTATTTTTTTAATTGCTGTTATATTATCCAAATGCAACAAAACCTGGAGTATTGTATTTTTTGTTATCGGTTTGGGTTTAAATGGTTGCTCTTATTCTGGATTTTTAGCCAATTATGTTGATATGGCGCCAGACTTTGCAGGAATTCTTATGGGATTTTGCAATGCATTTGGAAATATTCCGGGTTTTGCTGCCCCACAAACTGCATCTCTAATTTATAAAAATGGGGTAATTGTAAACATTTTATATTATTATTAATTTTATAAATATAAATATATATATTTTTTATAGCAAACATTAGAGACTTGGTCTTATGTTTTTTACATTTGTTCAGGAATTTACTTTTTTACTCAAATTATTTATATATTGTTTACAACATCAGAGTTACAATCTTGGGGTTTGAATAAAAGTTACGACACAAGTGTTGATAAAATTAATAAAAATAATTGTTAAATAAATTTTTTATATTAATGAAATTAAAATTGAGATTCTAATTTATTAATTTATGTATTTTAAATAATTTTTAAAAATATATTATAATTTAAGATTTAACTATCTCATAATTGTATAATATTTTAGTTATATTTTATAATTATTATTTCATAAATTTTAGTGATTCTCTCTTACATTATAATTAATATTTTTAATTTGTTTTATCACTAATTATATCAATCATTATTTTTGTAACTTTTAATTTAATAAAAATAAAATCTTACTAAATTATAACAATAATAATTGAAATAAAGTGTTCTGTTTATATCAGATTTTTGCTTCATTAAATTATATAAAATATTTATTTATAATATATATAATATATATTTATTGCTTAATATTAATCTGATAATTTATATTATCTTAATAAATATATGAATACTTATTAATTGTAGAATAAAATATAATTTAGGTGCAATTAATAATATAATAAAATACTACAATTTTTTAGTAAATTTTAATTATTTAATGAAAACTTTTTATTTTATAATTATATTTTCAATGATGACTATTATAAAACAATTATAATTTAATTAATTGCCACTATAAAAAATAAACTTATCTACTTCTAATGTAATAATAATAATAATAATATTTGTAATTAAAAGTTTAAATTGTTTTTATTAAAAATATTTTTTAATTAATCATTATTTGGCTGTTGTATTGTATTTATTATATAAATGAGTTGGAAAAGTGGTGGTCAACAGTGTTTCTCATACATACCGTCCAGATATGTGTTTATATTACTCACAGCTTGGGGTCTGTTTATGGTCTATGCTTTTAAGGGCTTTTTAGGAGTAGCTATCGTAGCGATGGTCAAAAATGGTGACAAATCCGAATCATATGGACAGGAGTGTCGAGTTTCCGACACAAACAATGATATAGTTGACGATAAAGATAATGTTAATGGATTTGATTGGGATGACAAACAACAGGCAACTGTATTGGGCTGTTATTTTTATGGCTATATAGTACTACAAATACCTGCCGGTGCTTTGGCTGAACTGTTTGGTGCTAAATGGATATTTGGTGGCAGTATGCTTATCACATCATTACTATCCCTATTAGGACCGATAATTGCACAGTGGGGTTATGTGCCATTTCTTATAACACGTATCGTACAAGGTTTGGCACAGGGAGTCATACTTCCGTGTATGAATGCTATGATAGCCCGATGGGCCACCAAAATGGAGAGAAGTCGTGCCATTTCATTGATATTTTCCGGTGCAGCTCTGGGATCAGTAGTAGTTTTACCACTAACTGGTTATTTGTGTGACCAATCGTTTTTAGGTGGTTGGCCCGCTATCTTCTATGTATTGGGTATTATGGGAATTGTTTGGTTTATATTGTGGTCAGTATTTGTTTATGACTCACCTGATAATCATCCGTTTATATCTGAAAGTGAATACAATTATATAATTAAAGGACAGGGATTGGAGAAAACATCTTCAGTAATATTTTTTATATTATAGTTTTAATTTAACACAGTGGGAAGTGGGGCGCCACTGTTTTGTTTACTTTCGGAACATTTGTAACCTATAGCAACCAAAAAGTATTATTATTACTTTGAAATTGTTGTTGTTGAAAAAATTTCATAAGTAAATTTATTACTTAGTTCGAATTCAAAAAAAATTCAATGAACTTGACTTTTAGTTCGAATTCATCATCGGAGTAATTTAGTTACTCCAACATTGAATTCATCATCGGAGTAATTTAGTTACTTCTTCTCTAAAGAAAATTATTTACTTAAAAAACATACATAAACAACGTTTTAAAACAATATATTTATTAAATAACGTAATTAATGATTAAATGTAAAGTAACATAGTTACTTTACTAATGAGATTAATAAAAAAGAAACAAAATTACTTTTATAATACAACATAGAGAAACAAAATTACTTATCAAAAAAGTAATTAAAATACTTTTAAAAATGTATTAGAAATATGAAAAAGAAACAAAATTACTTTTAAAAATTCTATTAAAAAGAAACAAAATTGCTGAAAAATTAAGCATTTTTATATACAACATAAACATCTTAATTGTCGGCGTCGTCATTGATAATTGTTGGCGACTCAATCGATCGTTTGTCGTAATCGGCATCTTTGGGCAAATTTGCCTCAATAAACACGTCAGGGTCTTTACATTAGTAGTGGGGTTTTTGGTATACATTGACAATCCATCAACTCAGTCTCATCATCTTCATCTTCGCTGATAATAATAATTATTTATATAATTTTATATTTTTTTATTTAGTTTCTATTAAATAAAGTTAACTAATCATTTATACGATATTGTGTTGTCGTTAGTCTCATTAGCCTCTGAATCATCGCTCTGATGTTGTTGGTTCAACCATTTTGCTTAAGTTTATGACGTCTATTGTATACCAAGCGATTTCTTTGTTAAAATAAATAATTATTTTACGTATTTAAAAAATCATTTTTTCAATTCTTACAAACGTCTTCTTTGCTGAGCCAAACAATAAAGGAAATTTTAAAAAAAGATAAGCCGTAATACCGCGTATTACCGTAAAGTGACGCTCATTTTTACTATTTGACAGCAATTTCATAGCTCTTCAAGTTGAGTTATAGTATAGTATTAATATATAAAACAATATTAATTATTTATATTAGATTTGTTGAACTTAACTCATTATAGGCTTGACAGTGACGATTGAATACTTTGAATATGACTTGTTTTTCAGAGTCATTGGTCAATGTGCACTGATAGACAGACGAGAAAAATAAGTAAAATACTTTCTCTACATAATCATCGGTACTATCGAACTGTGGCCTTAATTTAATATCAAATAAGCCATTTGTTGATCACTGTGATGACAAATTGTCTATCGATTCAAGAGCACAATCATGTAGCAAAAATGACATTAGTATTTTGGTATTTGATCCACTTGTTATAGACACTAACTGTCGAATGTTTTCTCGTAAGCATATCTTTTAAGCATAATATTATTAGTGTACCATATATTTATTTAATCAGTTAGTTATTTAATTATCATTAAAATAAAATTTATAAATTATAAAAAATAAAAAAAATCACTTACGAGATGATAGTGAATGACTAATAGTTTTTGACAACTCTTCAGTGATTTTTTTACTAGTGGCAACAGTTTGGTTGTTGTCGATCCCAAACTTTATCGGTTTTCGAAATTTTTGAGCCGATTTACGACACGACTTGTCATCCATTTTAGTATTGTGATGTCTTCACTTAACCAATATTAGAGATTCAATAGAAGCACATTAAACACAATATAAACTAATTAACTTTACTGTTTCAAGATTAATACAAGCATTAGTTTAAACTGCGTCAACACTTATTATTCTCAACTATTATTGGATAATGATAGTATCCAACAAATAATTACGCATTTTTAGTAAACTTTTACTATTTTTTTGAATGATTGTTATAAAATAAATATATTATAATTTTTTTTATGTTAAAGTATATATATATATTTATCATTTTCCATTTAACTTAACAAATATATACCGTAATTTGTCAATTATTTCATATTAACTGTATTTCACAACATTCAATCAATTAATCATAATGTCAACTGATTTCAAGTGTTATCAATGTAATTTCATATCTATTGATTTGAAAAATTTTCGTAAACATGTTTATATTGAACATTATTCTAAAGGACTGAATAAAGGAAAGTTTGTCTGTTGTTTTGATAATTGTCGCAAAGAGTACTCACCATCCTTTAGGGTTTCGGACACTGAAACACTGGAATCGTTTAAAGCTAAAGATAAATGCTTAAATCGTGAATTTGATAACCGCTGTGGAAAGCATTTAAGATTACATGTTTCAAAAAACATGAATTCATTTAGAAAGTATAACAAAAGTAATAAGGTTTCTCAAGTCACTACGACTAAAGACTAAAGATTATCAACAACTATCAAAGAAAAAATATTTCTATATTTATATATTATGTTACTATATAATAAAGTAGTTCAACTTTTCTTAAAAATGTTTTATAGAGTAAATTATACTATAATATTAGTTCTTCTAAAATAAATAAAACAGAATTATTTAAATAATAATTTTTTGCTTTGTTTATTAAAATTTTATATAATACATTGAATATTGTTGTTAAAATTAAAATTTTGAAATAAAATCATAGAATTAATATATTTTTTGAAAAACATGTAAAATTTATTTTAAATTACTAAACATAAACACACTTTTTATAATAATTTTCAATAAGCTATTAAAATAAAATATGACTAATACTTTTTTTTAGTGTCAGTAAGTTAAAAGTAATTTAATTACTTTAGAATAATTTTCAATAAGCTATCAAAATAAAATATGAGTAATAAATTTGAGTAAATATATTACTCTTTCGAACTAATGAATCAAAAAACTCATGACTCAACATCTAGTGTACAATTTTATTACTATCTATAAGAAATACTATTACTTTTCAACATTTTTCAAAATTACAAAACATCACATAACATCACATGACTTATAATTTCGAGTAATAATTTTACTTTTTCGAACTAATGAATCAAAAAACACTCGACCCAACATCTGGTGGACAATATTTTCCCTATATCTGAGAAAAATTATTACTTTCCAACGATTTCCATCAACAAAAACATCACATGACTTATAATTTCGAGTAATAATTTTACTTTTTCGAACTAATGAATCAAAAAACACTCGACCCAACATCTGGTGGACAATATTTTCCCTATATCTGAGAAAAATTATTACTTTCCAACGATTTCCATCAACAAAAACATCACATGACTTATAATTTCGAGTAATGATTTTACTTTTTCGATCAAATCAATCAAAAAACACTCGACCCAACATCTGGTGTACACTTTTATTACTATTTTTGAGAAAAATTTTTACTTTTCAACGCTATGCACAAACAACTTTATAAGTGAGCGCCTGAAAGCTCGACTCTCATTGGTCGACTGAATTTTCACAATTTTACGCCAACATGCTTCAAATTTTGCGCATAAAATCTCGTCTCTCATTGGTCCATTAGCTTTGAAAACTCATTCTACAGTGGCGCTTCCGCTGCATTTTTCTCACTGTGAATATTTTAATAAATCATAATATCTTAGTATATCTTACAATGGAACGTTTTTCCCTGATGCGCCCCTTTTTGACCATGGTATATTATAAATTATAGAAAATATATCTAATTTAAAATAAATAATAATATTAGCACCTCACTATAGTACCAGAGTTCGGATCCTTGTTTTCATATTGTATTTTTTGATTATATTTTTTATATTTTTTAATTTTTTAAAATAAAAACACAACTAATAACATAATTAGTGAATATTTTAATAAATCATAATATCTTAGTATATCTTAGTGTAATTTTATGGGTAAATATAAATAATGTTTGAAATATTACAGAAACGTGTAATTCCGTGGAAATCCATACTCAGTTCATACAGAGTCTATGCAATGATTATCACACACTTTGGCCAGAATTGGGGTTATCTCACAATATTGACACTAATGCCCACATATTTTACTAAAATACTTCTTATGGATATTAAAACAGTAATATTTAAAATATTTAAAACAAAATACATTACAAATGACTATATTTTTAAAGAATGGTTTGTTATCGAGTCTTCCGTATTTGAGTCAAGCAATCGTCTCAATAATATCTTCATATATAAGCGATAAGATTAGGGAACGGGATGTCATCAATGTATCACTTTTAAGAAAAATTAACAATTCTATTGGTATTATATACAGTATATAACAATTAAAGATTTATATTAAGAAAGTGTTATTATGTTAGCCTTCTTCGGTCCGGCCATTTGTATGGTTGCCATTGTTGCGGTTGAATGCAATCAAACTCTTTGTATAGTATTGTTTGTGTTAGCTCTAGGACTCAATGGTTTCTGTTATCCGGGATTTAACTCCAATTATGTCGATATGTCACCCGATTTTTCGGGAGTTTTAATGGGTATTTGTAATTGTTTCGGGAATATTCCGGGATTTGTAGCACCTATTGTTGCCGCAAACTTCTACTCCAAAGGGGTATTAAATTTATTTATTTTTTAAAAAACAATGATATATACATATAATAATAATAATAATAAAACAATTTTTTAAAATAATTAGCAAACTTTGGCGAACTGGTCGCATGTATTTTACACGTGTGTTGCAGTCTATGTATTCACACAAGTAATTCATATATTATTTTCAACGGCAGAGCTTCAGCCGTGGGGTATAAGTGGTGGCAATAATAAAGAAAATAATAATAATAATAATAATTTAAATGTTAGACAACTGAGATAATCAATAATTAATTGTATATTACATGTAATTTCGTAAAAATATTTTTTAGTTAATAATAATAATTGTTATATTTATATTATTAAATATATTGATTTTATAAAAAAACATTACTAAAAAAAATAATTTGTTGCTAAATAACTAATTAGCAAATATGGTGTACAATAACAAAATTTAAAAATTAATTAAATATTTTTAATAAAATACTAATTTTGATGATTTTTCGTAATATAAACACTGGTTATAATAACTTTGATTTATTTAACTTTGAATTTGGATTCAAATTATAAAGTATTGAATGAAAGCATTGAATACAAGTGTTAGTCAATGAATGAATAGTAAATGTATTGACAATTGAAGTCAAACACCGAATGCATTGATTTCAATGAACTGACTGTCAGTTAGTTTGCAATTATTCACTAGTTTTCTGTCAACAGTTTTGATCAATTGTTACCACCGATGACTACACTATTAGACTCAAGAGGCACTCAAGAGGTGCCAACAACACCGCAATTTATAAATCACAGCTCAATAATTATCACTCCGTCACCACTCTTACAGTATTCACCACCGATTGTACCACAGATTGAACTCATATCCAATTCATCTCAAGAGTCACTTGAAAATGAACGACCATTTGAGCCGTCATTGTCATCAAATAGTGGAGTCGAGTCTGATAAAGACCAAGTGGTACCACAAGTTGACAGTCAGAGCCAATCAGTGATAATAAGTCAATCAAGTGTTGAACCTTCAGAAGAATCGTTTGCCTTTAATTTGAGTCCAATTGTTAGTCAATTTAATAAAGAATCAGAAAATAGTCTGAATGTTAGTCAAGAATCAACTGAATCAATGGTGGACTCCGATTGGCCACAAACAGAGACATCGTTTGAGTTTAGCGACCATTTTGATCAAAACAACCGAAACTTTGGCATTTCAGTGAAGCGCCGACTTCTGGCCAAAAGATATAGCAAACGAAACAAAAGCTCTAATCAGAAAATTTCAATATTTTATGAATTATTGGCCGAAACATCACATCATGAGACAGAAGTGGACAACTTGTTTACCGATTATTAATAATTCATTTTTTATTTTTCTATAACTTTTGTTTAATAACTTTATATTTTTGGAGAAAATTTTGAATTAATTTTGTATTGTATTTCTGTTAAATACTTTGAATAATTATTTATAATAAGTCTTATTGTCAGTCAATTGTAATTTTAATGTCTTAATGATATCACAATCGGTGGACACAATCACCGAAAAGTTTTATTATAATAAATACAGTTTTAGACAATTATGACGTTATTTGGTGTCAATAAGTGTCACGTGTTTTGATGCAATGTTTTGATAAACAGTTGTTTTGTCGTCAAATTGACTGTCAATTTGTGTCCATTTGTGGCCACACTATGGCTTCGGTACGACTCTTATTGAGTCCAAAAACAGCACAAATTGCTACTCAACTCATTGTCCGCAATGTCCGTAATTGTTGTCAACAGCGGTGGAGACACGAGTGGCCACTAATAAGACACAAAAACTTAAGTAATAAAAATAACTTTAAATTAAATATTAATCCCAAAGTCAAGACATTTGGTCCAAATGGTCAACAAAAGTGTTTTATTCATTTGTCTCCAAAACGATATAACCCGTTAGTGGCCATTGTTTTGAGACAAGTGGCCAAAGTGGCAGCCGTTATTACCGGCAGGTTAGTGATAAGATTGAAATTAATTGATCCAAATTTAATCAGATATTTGACATGACTTAACATTTAATGATAATGTATTGTCTTTAGAGTAGTGAGGAAGTGGTGGCGAGACTTACCACCAAATAAGCGACAATTGGTTTATCAGTGGTTTATTCGCCACAAATGGAAATTTGGTCTCTCGTTAACCGCATTGATAGCTATGTTTGGTGTCTATTATTTAAGCCATATCTCAGAGACGCCAATCACAAGACGCAAACGATTTGTTGCTTTTACGGCAAAACAAGTCGAAGAACTAAACAATTATGAATTTGAGGTTCAGTTACACACGTTTAAGGATAAACTGTTGCCGTCGTCTCATGAATCGTCTAAACGTGTGGCCCGAGTGGCCACTCAATTGCTTAATGGCAATAATGATATACAAGAGATTCACGATCACGAGTGGTCGGTATCGGTAGTCAATGACCCACAAAATAAAAATGCCTTTGTTATGCCTTCGGGACAGATTTTTGTCTTCACGGGAATGTTAAACATATGTGATAACGACCAACAGTTGGGCACTGTATTGGCACACGAGATGGCACACGCCGTACTCGGACACGGAGCTGAACTGGTATTATCTTATATTGTGTTTATATAACTTATATAAAATTTATAATTAATGTAATGTCCACTACAGCTAAGTCACGCCCATCTCATTGATTTGGTGTTCATTTGTCTAATTGCTACCATTTGGACATTACTTCCGTCCGACATCACGGCCTCAATAACAACTGGTATCTCGCGATTAATAATGAATTTAATATCAGATGCGCCGTATAGTCGTATGCTTGAAACCGAAGCAGATATTGTAGGACTAGAATTAGCAGCGAAGGCGTGCTTTGATGTCCGCGAGACGAGTGTTTTCTGGCATAAAATGGCACTCATGGAGAATGCAGAAGACTTTCATATCGTTACAACTGACGAAATACAGTTACCGACAAAAATTGAGTTTTTGTCAACACATCCGAGTCATGAAACGAGGTATCAATACTTGGACTCTTTGATGGACGACGCCATTAAACTTAGGACTAAATGTAATTGTCCTCAACTACCGAAATACGATCCGAGAACTAATATCGAACTAATGAAGAAACATATTAAAGACTATTACGAACTTAAACGAAGAGAAGGCGTCACTATTTTACCCAAACCTCCGATACCTCCAAATCTTTTGCGTAGAGATTCTTAACGATTCAATTGTTATTTAAATTATGAAAATATAATAATTAGTTAATAAATCAATTTTAGTAAATTTTATTCGTATTTTAAATTATTTCTTTCATTCAATAGTCAATCTATGCATTTGATTCGTTAATTCACTGAAATCAGTCAAATTCGACCCTTTTTTCATTACAGGTGCAGAAAAACGGAAGCCATAGATCTGACAAAGATTGAGACAATACTTTAGTTTTGCCCGAATATTGTTAAGAATATCATCCGATTGATAGATTTGATTCATCAAAAGGATAGTTGTATAATCAGTCCGTCCCTGACTATCGTAGCTCTCGAGCCTTATGGTGTGCGCTATCTCTCTCTCTTTATTCATACGTTTGATCAGTTTATTTGTAAATGTTTGACATCCGACTACCAAATCATCTCTAAGTTTTCTTCCTTTTGGTGACATTCCTATAATTGATATATTTATTACATTAGTTTTATTTACAAATGCTATTAATATTAGTCAACCAATATATTAATATACCTGTTCTGTATTTGATGACATAATCAATGAAATTAAAGCTTGGTTTATGAAGAACTGGTCGGTTATCAATACCGCGTGATTTCTCCCATAAGTTTTCTGATCCTCTAAATTGATTTATTAATCTTCTTCTCCTAAAATTACGCAAATCTTTCAGTGTCTTGACATTCAATTTTGCTTTAATCTTTTGGCCCAACTTTCGTCCAAATCCTTCAACACTTTCAATGGGAAGTTCTTGAGAGATGCGAGCGATTCCCGGCTTACTAATCAAAACTGTGATATTGTTGGGTTTGTTTAGTTTGCAGGCAATTTTGGCCAAAAACTTGTTATAACTGATCCCCGCTGAACATATAAGACCCGTCTTACGAGTTATTTCATCGCATAAATCAGTGATAAAAACAACAGCTTTAGTGATACGGCGGTCACTTGTGTTGGGTATACATCCAAATAAGTACTGTCTGTTAGCGCCTTCGACTAAGGCATCCAATGACTTGAAGAAATCGATGTCATAATCGTAATTATCTCTCAAGAATTTGGTACATAATTCAGTCAAATCAATGTAAAGGTCGTCCACCGATGACTTCTCTATTGTCACGCTTTTATTTTTGCAGAAGTTTATGATCGCATCAAACAATTGATTCGATTTGTCTTTCGACAAGTTTTCAGATTTTTTGCAAATCTTTAAATTTGGACACAAATTAATGGCTTCATCTTTAGACATGCCTTTAGTGATACCAATAATCTTTGCCTCATAACTCATCGAAATAATCCTTTAAATTAAAAATTTTATAAAATTTCAAAACAAAATAATTTTAGAAATCAATTACCCGTACTTTTCTGTCTTTACATCGCTTTCACATTTGCCTAACACAACACACGGAAGTCCCTTATATTTAGGCCATTGTTGTAACTGAACTGAGAAGCAATCGATGTCCAAATGTGCGATCACTCGATCTTTGTTTAGATGATAACTTCGGACCATTGTTTCAGTTGTGCGATCAATCATTTAACACGACTATAGTTTCAATCAATACGTGACAATAGATTATTACTTTTTATATTATATATATATATTGACGTAAACTTATATTAGTTAAAAAATATGACAAAATTTTTAATTCAATGACAATTTTAGTATAAAAATTAGATTCATTTGTCAATGTGTTATACTCTATAAACTTAAGCTAAATATTAAAAAGTTTTAACACTGATTGTTGTACAGTCACTGTATAACAGTGTAATTTATAAGTCTAACGAAAATATTAAATTATTGATAAATTTAAAATAATATAGTTTTTATTGTTAATTTTAAAGTTTACCTCTTAATAGTTGAAAATTTTTTCAATTAATAATACTGTAAAAATTTTAATATTAATTGAAGTTTATTACCAATAAAATCTACACAAACAAACTATATGTATAAAACATTTTATTTTTATATCAATTTTAGTGACAATCAAATTTAGATTTATGGATTAGTGAATCACATATACAATACATTGTGTAAATAGAAAGTGAAATTTGTTTATAATTTTTAATTACTGGTAAAAACACTGAATTCGTTAATTATAAATAAATTGTTTACTTTTCTAAAATATCAATAAAATATATTTATACTTACCGTACATTAAATTTTATAATCTACGAGACATATTTATGCAGTATATATGTACAATAGTATATACATAGTATAGTACTTTAATAATAAATTAAAATTAAAATGATTATATCTGTATGTATTCAATAGATTGTAGATTCATTAATGGCAAAAGTTGCCATTAAGACTGTCAGTCTAATCGGATTAAAATATATGATAAGTGTTGGTTTGGAGTCTAAGTGCTGATCGTACTGTATCATCATTTAGTTAAATATTATGTGTCTTATATACTAATGTCTCATTTTTAATTGAATTGTTTAATAAATTTAATTTCAACTAAATATAGCACTTTACTAAGTTAATACTCAGTATAAGCTACCGGTAGTTATTAATTCAATATAATTGCAACTTTTTAAAGTTATATTTTGTTTTTAATTAATTTTATTTACCTAATATATTAATATTACAATGTATTATAAAATTAATGTTTTTTATAAATACAAAATTGAAAATGTATGATAGATATGATATAATATTCTAACCACAAAAATGAATCAATTATTCAAACGATTTAATTATTATAATGTGATAAAATTATTAAAAAGAAAACATGTAATTGAAATTTATTTTAAGTATTTAAGAGTATTAAAGTAAGACAAATGTTTAGGTAAATCATAAATTGTTTAATTATACTAAATCTTTATCTGAATTGATATAAAGTAACTTCAAATTCTCGGTAAGAAAAGTCTCGTATTGTTCATCAAGTGATGACTCGGGCTTTAAATGAGTCCACTTTGCATATCTACTGTCCCACGTTTCGGGAGCAAACAAACACGGATTTTCACCACTTTGTTGCTTCTCTGGATCCGAAGTTGTCTTTTTGTCCGACTTTTGTGTCGCATTTTCCATATCTTTGAAACAATTTGCAACAAATTGACTTTTATAGTAACTAATGTCATCGACAATCTCTAACGCTTTAGTTTTTATTTTATCCACGAGTTCTGTCAGATTGTACTTTGAATTGGTATCACTTAAGACAATGACATCATTTAATTTGGGTTTTTCGGCGTTTGACAGATAAAACTCTAATCGGATTTGTTTTGCAATTCTTTTGTTTCGTTGCAAATCATATTCAAGTTTATCGTAAAGACTAAGAATTTCAAGAATCAGATTTGGCAAACCAACGATCAAATTAGTGCCTAAAGTGATAAACAATTATTTTGTATGTAATCAATAAATCAGATCTAATTTATTATATTTTTAAATAAATAATTATTTTTCTAAGCAATAAAAGCATCGAATATATAACTTTGAGTTTCAATCATTAAAATTCAATAAAATAGCAAAAATTAGAATACCTTTGAAATATCTCTTCGCAGACTTGACGCCATTGTTTCTCCATTTCTCGACCACTGGATTGTCATCAATACCGCGACAAATGTTCCACACTTTCTGTCCATCACTTTCTCCCAAACGATTGATTAGTCCATTCTTTGAATACTTTCTTAACTCAATTGCTTTACGCACTCCCAATGCAAGCACTCTATCACCTAATTCTTGTTTAAAGCCGCGAATTGACTTAATGTCCATTTTGTCGAAGATTCTAGTGATGGCACATCTGGACAATATAATTGTTATTTTATTAGGTTTATTGAGTTCACAACCAATTTTGGCCAAAAGTGTGTTATAACTGATTCCCATAGATGTCTGAAATCGGGTTTGTTTTAGTATTTGTTTGCGGAGATCGTTAACAAAAAGAGCGGCGCAAGTGATGGCCTGATGTTTTTGGTCGTCATAATTCCAGAGACCATAAGTGCCCGAACCGTATTCAACTTTGACATCTGTTAATTGATCCAATACTTGCTGATCGTAATATTCATTACAATTCTCCAAAATGGCTGTTATGTCCAAAAAAAATCCATCGGATGAGTCTCTCTCGACAATTATATTGCCATAAAGTTCTGCATAACGTGTGATCACATCGAGGATCTCATCGCTGGCTTCGACGCACTTCCGGTCCCACGTCTTGTTGTACTTAAATTCTTCTTCAAATATGACAACATTTGGACACAATTTTTGTGCGTCTCTGTAATCAAACCATTATAACAATTGTCATATCATTTAAACAATCAATACCTAAGCCTATGGTCGCGTGTAATACCGTATTGTTTACCGATTGTATTGATTGAAACGATTCTGTCAATCAAATTAAGACATGGATTACAAGTTATTCATAACAATCAATAAGACATGAAATTCAATTCATGGCATACCTCGGGTTCTGGTTGTCCACTGTTTTCTGTTGTGTTGTAATACACGGGTTGTCCTTCAGGTGCGGCTGATGTCTGAGGAATAGTTGGACCGCAAAGAAGTCGATATCGATGTGAACTATAACTCGACTTTTGTCCAAATGGTAGTCGAGTTGACATAAGTCGGCATTCATTGTCATCGATGATAATGACGACCAAAATTTCAATTATGTATTTCAATGATGTCTTTGACCCATAAATTGGTCACAAATTGTGGTCAGTTTGTGGTCACTAATCACTAATACATTCAACAATCGGCCAAATCTGACAAATAGAGTCATTCGTAAACAACGTTATAATTATTTTCATTAGCTTTTGAATTAACGTATGAATGGATTAAATAGTGACGAGACGTGAAATGTCGGGAATCACGTAATTATAGACTCAAATGACTTTAAATTTAATGTATTTATTTGATTAACATTAGTGTTGACTCTTATAATAATAAAAGTCAATTGAATTTATGTTAATTAATAATAAATTACTATATTATTAACATTAAACACACTATAAGTTATCCTATATTTAATATTAAGGCAATGCTATGCAATGCAATATATTATTTAAAAATATGTCATTTATTTGAACTAAATATTCATTTGATTCATAATTGTGTTAATAATATGTGATATAATGTATAATATTTTATAATTTGATATTTATTGAAAATATTATACTTATATCATATAACAATAGTTTACTTTATAATAAAGTTTTAAATAAAACATTTTCAATATAACTTACATTAATTGCTGTCGAGGTCTTCAATGGTAAGCAATAATATTACTTAAATAACAAATGAATGACTGTTTTGTTAATTTTATTTTATTTTTTTTAAATACTTTTATTTTTTCACTGATTTTTGAATCACAAAAAATAATATACAGTAAAGTATAAACAAATTTGATAAAAGTATTTGTTTTAAATGATTTTATTTGAGAGAAACATCTGAAAAGTGTGTGAAATGTGAGGTAATGTTAGTGTGAAGTGTGTGTGAGTTATAGCATTTGGAGTGAAGGGATGTCTATGAGAGACAACATATTATATAACACAAAATAACAGTACATTTGAAACACAAGTATTGAGAACTACAGTCAAACTTTTATACTATAATATAAAGTAAGGTATCATATATTGTATAACATTTAAAACACTTATATTTATAATTATAGCAATCAAACAGTATATTCTCCTAATTCATACACAAATTATAAAAAAAATACGAAAAATTTTACTAACATTTTCACCTAAATTTAATTTTACATAAATTTACAAATATTTCACGAAAATGTGGAGAATTGTAGAAATTTATGTACAATTTGGTGAAAATGTTAGTAAAATTTGTTACGAAAAGTCCTTTTTTATTATAATAAAAATAAAACATAAGTTTTATTTAATTTGACTGTTGTCTAAATGTTGTTAAAGTGATTTAGTTATTAAATTAAATATTTATTTAATATATTGATATAATATTAATGTAATAATTGAAATCAACTAATCTTTTGATACAAGTTTAGGGTTGAGTCGACTCAACAATCTATATGTCACTCAAACTCATATTAATACCAATACTCTATAACATACACTACAGTACAGTACATACAGGTGTTGATCACATTAATGGGTCAACAATTTTCACACTTTTTATTGTCAATTGACTACTACTACTGTATTATAAATTATAATAAGGCGTTGTTCACATATTACGTTCGCACTTGAGGGGAGGGGGGGTCGGCCAAAGCGAACTTTTGCGAACGAGGGGGGGGGGGGTAAAGTCTATAAGAACGTTCGCATTTAAATAATGAATGAATTTAAGGGATTAATTTTGAGTAAACTTAATCCTTTGATAAACGGTTTAATAACTAATTTTGAATAAATATATGACTTTTGAATAATATTAATTTATTTTATTATTTTATTATTTTAAAAGTGAAAATAATTTTATAAAATATTTATTTAAATGGTGGGGGGGTTAAGGACATGCGAACGTAATTTTTAGATATCATTACATGCGAACAATTGCGAACATAGGGGGGGAGGGGGTCTAGATTTTTTAAAAACTGCGAACGTAATATGTGAACAACGCCTAATCTTTATGTAATTCAACCAATCGTTTAAACACAAGTTTAATACAAGTTTAGGTATCTTAAGCACAAAACTTATACATTATTTGTTTACTATTTATGTATTAATAGTAAATTCAAGTTATTTACAATAGATTTCCATTTAAATAAAAGTTTATATATATTGTAGTTAAATAAAAGTTAAATAAATAGTCATTCATATCATAATAGTGTACAATATATGTATTATATAGGGTTTCTAAAGCATTGAACCCCCTCTGAGATCGACATTTTTTGTGTCTTACCCCCCCTTTTGCCTAAATCCAAAAAGTTATGCACAGAATAGGCTACGGCCAGGACTACTAACTAAATGGTTTTGTTGATTGTGTGTAGATATCGGCACCAAAATAATATTCACACAAATATGAAATAATTAACAAATTATTAACTAAATTAAAATCACAAAAATAAGAGAATATTGATTAATATTGTATGTTATATACAACACAACACTAGAAGAGGCAAACTTTATTAGACAACCATAATATAGGAAAGCATTAAATGAAATATTAGTATATTTGAAAATTACATATAAATGTATTGTATATACTCTACAATATAGTTGTTAATAAAGTTTGCCGTTTACTGCATATAACACACAGAACATAGTGTTGACTCCGATAGCATAATCAACTGGCAATGCATTGTAAAGCATACCGAGAGTCAGTGCGTGTCTATAATGTAATAATAATTATTGTAAATATATTTAGTTTATATAAATTAGTTATATATAAATAATTTATATTTTAAAATAATAGTTCACATAATATACAAATTATTTGTTTGTCGAGATATCCCGAAATTATACCCGAATTATGACTATTGTTTGCATCAAAGATTCGGTTCCCAGTAATGTGTCTAAAAAGTTAGTAAACTTTCTTCGGGAACAAAATGTAGAGTTCATAACACCTGAACAATGGATGACCTATAGTCCTGATGCGACACAAATGGACTATTTATTCTGCGGTTATCTCAAGAAACGATTGAATAAAAGAAAAATAACCAAAAAATATCTTCACTTAAAAAGCTATTATAGAAAAGGTTAAGAAAGTGTTCCAAAATATAGTCAACAAATGCACTGAAAAGTTGGAGTCATAGATGTCGTCAAATCTATTATAAGGTGTCTTCATATCGAAAAATATCGTTAATTTTAATTGTTATTTAACTTTGAATTTGTCCACAACTTCATCCAATATTTCTGTTTTTAATTAACTATTAATATTATAATTTTTAAAATTAAAAACAAATATTATTTTGAGTAAATATTTAGAGTATTAAAAAATTAAAAAGTTGGCAATATTTCATTTTTAGTTAATTTATAGGGAATTTACTCAAATTTGGAAAAATTGTTTAAAAATGCAATAAACTCTACCCCCACCCCACCCCACTCCCACCCCCAAGATTTTTCGAATATTTTTCGATTTCAATTAATAATTTTAACATTTTTAACTTTTTCACTTTTTTACTCTTCCAAATGTTTGAAATTTGTTTGAAAATTGAAATAAATGAAAATGAATATATTGTAGAAATAATTTATTAAAACAATATATAATTTAAGTTATTTTAGTACTAAAAGTAAAACTGTATATCGTTTTACTTTTAGTACTAAAGGATGCAATGTTTATGTAAATGATTTTTAATGAATTCATACATTATTATACAATATATAAGCAAAACATAGTACCGTTAAACCAACAAACAAATCATGTAATGCATAAAATTAAGACATTTTCAAAATATAAATTTAAATTAGTTATTAAATAAACTCTATTTTCAATTAATAAAATATATTACAAATGAAGACTAAAAGAGAATTTTTTTTGTATCGAAAAAATATAAATATTGTTAAAACCAGAGATCATTGTCTTCGTCGTTGTGATCATCAGTAGTTTGCATATCGTTTGATTGATTATTATTATTATTATTATTATTATTATTATTATTAGTGTTATTATTAGTATTATTATTATTATTATTATTATCAGAGTCTGAGTCGTCAGAAACGGCTAAATCTTGAGATATATTTACTGCCGAAGAATGTTTGACTGAAAATGGCATCGAAGATGAAAAGTTTGGCGACAATTGAGAATATGGATGGCTTTTCATTTGGGTTTGAGATGTCTTTGGCTGAGCAAACCTTTCGAGTAAAAACTCTGACGGATCGTAACTCTCGTCTATAACATCTTCATCGTTATCATTATTATTGTTAACATTCGCTACGATTTCCATTTCCTCGTTATCACTATTATCTGGACTCATGTCCAGGTCATTAGCCAAAGAGCTTCGGGGCTCTTTAGTATCCATAATATTAGACTCACTGTTCTCATCAAAATCATCAAAAGCATTATCTCCTTCTCTATCACCAAAACTAAGTGCTGCTGAAGAAGGTGGACGAGTTGAAGACATATCTTCAGCGCCGTCTTTAGACATACCGGTAACAACAGAATCATTGTCTGCGTCATCGAGAGCTCTCTCTTTTGCGTCAATGATTGCCTGTTCATAAACTATGAGCTGTTCGTCGTAAACATTAATGTATTCCTTTGCCGTTTCCAGTATTTCTTTTGCCTTTTTTGTGAATTGACTGTCGGCTCCGTTATATCGCTCACTATTACGAAACATAAGCTCAATGTCGTCTAAGAATTGAGTACGTGATTGATATTTATGTTGTTTTATTGACTTTTCTATCGCTTCCAATGAAATTGGAGTTTCAATCACTTCATAATAGTTTTTAACAAATTTCTTGTCAACCGGTTTATGAAAAGGCCACGACTCGGGTATTGTCTTTAGTTTTTGTTCAATAATTGTCTCGAGAATATAAGATAAGGCGACCTAATTATAAATAATTTTAAAATCAATTCATTTTGTAGTCAATAATATGATTACCTGATCGTTATCGTCGAGCAATGGATTGATAGCCTTTTCGATTCGCATTAACTTTTCTTCCATGTCTTTAAACCTCTTGAGACACAAATCCATCATTTTCTGTGAGGTTGCAGTCAATGCATGATTTATTCCGTTATAAAGTTTAGAGTTTTCAATAATTTGATTAACATTTTGAAGAAAGTCATCCCTACAGGTATACTTCTTCTCGCGAATCTTACTCCGCATTGTTTGCAAATCCATTGGATTTTGGATTAATTTATAATAATCGGGAACCATCTTAGCGTTGACCGGACAATGAAACAATGTTGTGTCGGGTAAGTCTCGCATTTCGTTGAGTATCTCTTCTAAAATGCCCGACAAAGTTACCAATGGATCAGTTCGTCGCCGATTCGCAGATTTATAATCAGGTTTTTGTAGATAATCGCAGTGGTCAGCAGTACCGACCCGTCGTTTGCGTTTCATAGCCAACGCTTGTTTAGGTATTTTCAGTTTTAACGCCTTACTCTTAACTTCGTCCATATGTTTAATAAGTGATTTCGAGAGAACCACTTTTGTTTCATCCACTTTAACCAAATGGTCTTCATTTAATACAAGTCTTTCTTCTTCTTCTAGTTGTTCATCAGTCATCGCCACCTGAACTGGAGGTACAATATCAGTGCCCTTAAACAAAGGACAGGCTCTGTTGGTTCTCATGTGTCCGACTGCACCACAGGCTCCACATTTAAGTTTAACATTCAGTTCTTTTTCTTTCTTAATTCTCTTAATCTTCGGCTCTTTCGGTGATTTAGTTGGTGTTACAGTGGGTGTAGTGGGAGACGAAAAAATAGTTGAAAATTCATTGGTATTCGTTTGTATACCCATTTGTTGTCGTAAACTATTAGCTAATTTATCTTTTTCCTGATTACGCTTTAATCGTCTTAACTGTTCCTGTATTCGTCGTCTTTCGCGTCGAATTTCTTCTTTCTGTTGGTCATCCAAAGCAGTGGCAAATTGTTTAATAAATGTATCGTCTTTTGTGGTGCGAATGCGAACATATGTATCAATAACTGCTGGTTTGCGGACAGTCTCAATGCGGACGTACTCTTTTCCTTCGGCGTTAACAAAAGTTCGATATATTTTAAGTATACGACCGGCCTGTGAGCTCAGACTAACGGCATCATCGGTGTCATCGTCACGATTGTCCAGCTTTTTCCTTTTGGATGACGGCTCTCCTTGATTGGACTCCTCACCCATAATAAGTTTCTTGAGTTCTCGTCTTTCAGCTTCTTCTCTCTCACGTCTGAGATCATGACTAGTCTTTTTGTTGGCTAACATTGACTCTATATTTTTGCCCATTTCTTCGATATCTGAGTCTTCTTCTTCACTTTCATCTTCATCTGTAGATAACTCCTCTCTTGAAGAAAGAATACGGTTTTGGAGTTCAAATACTCGTTGACATTCTTCCAGATATCTTTCCTGATGTTCTGCAATACTAAATCTGTTTCCGCGGGCAAACTTACTCATGACATCACCCGTTTCCTCGCCCTGTTGTTTGGCCTGTTCTGTGGATAGTGTCCTCACAACATCTATCACTTCCCAACGCGACAACTTCTTTATCTGTTTTCACATATATATAAATACAAAATTTAATTATTTTAATTGAAATCAAAATATATTTTTAAAATGACAGAAAATATATAATTATATCATATAATGAATGTCTATTAAAATACTTGAAAATACAAATAACAAAAATATTTGAACTCACAAATTCATCAGAAATACCCGAATTTCTCAACAGCTGTTTGGCCTTATTTAATGGTAATCTTCTGAGATCGGCATCAGTTCCCGTAACTGTCTTTTTAGGCGCTGCCTCTTTCTGATTGTCTTCCTGTTTGACATATTATGTTAAGTTAATTTATAATTCAATTTTTTAAAGTAAAAAATATGTCATTTGGTTGGCAAACAAACCTTTGTTTGTTGTGGTTTATTAGGAATTCTGACATAAGAAAAGCCTTCCCCACAACCGGTAGGATCGGCCACTCCAACCAACTGTAATAAACATTTTTTATTCATAGCAGCTATGAAAGCACGGGTTGTATTCCAAGGTGCGGCCTTCACTTCGTCATCCATTTTGATTTGAACGTCTTCATCATCATTATCTTCGGGTGCAAACATAAACTTTTCGCCATAACCGGCGTCTTTAAGTCTTTGTTCGGCCGCTATCATTGAATAGTAGGCACAACAAGCCTCTGGAGACACTACAGCCCGTATCTCATCTTCTGATGGTAATCTAAACTCTGGTTTTAATACCCACCAATTGGAATCCATACCTATGATTGACACACCAAAACAATTTGAATGTCGTCCAAAATTAACATCAGTTACCGTAAGCACAGGAGATAGTGGTTAAAAATAAATTTCCCGAAAATACCGGAAATGTTTAGTTAGTAATCAATTAGTAGGCAGTGCTCAGAGTAACCAATGATAGATACGAACCCATAAGGAAAAACCAGATTAAAATTGGAATAATTACCATTACCTGTTCTTTTAAAGTCTGCACATAGCTTAAGACGTTTACGTATTGAACTTTCTGAATGTGAAGGAAACGCTTTCTTTATGTCCTCCATTTTAATCCTACGAGGAGTGTCTGTGCTCTTCCAAAATAACCGATAGATAAATACCTGAAGAAAAATGATAACAAAATTTAAGTCAACTATTTTATGTAATTTTTAAAAATTAATTGTAAATTTAAATTAATTTTTTAAATGTAATACTTGTAAAAAGTCACGAATAAAATTATTAGATTTTTTAGAGTTAGGTCCGGGAACTTCATAAAGAGGTAATTCTTGACCGACAGTATAAATGGTTTCCACTTCACGAATGTGGTAACTGTTAGAAAATATTTTATACATAAAGTAATATAAATAAAACATATAATAAAACTCTACAAACAATACCTTTCTCTGGTTCTTATGATAAGAAAATCTGTTTCTGGTAATTGGTGTTCATATATAGGAGCTCTGAATAAATGGTTTTCTAGTGTTTGTTGTGATTGTCCCGGAGATAAATTGCCGAGAAATGGTGATTTCGAAAAGTATGCTTTTTCTCCATATTTATATACAGGAGGACCCGGGTCCTTTCCTAATTTCTATTATTTAATCATAAAAAATATTCAATCAATATGTTAATCTAAACGAAAATAAATATATAAAACAAACCCGTTTATAATAATTTTTGACTTTAGTGGCCATTCCCACTTGCATCATAAGTGGCGGGTGCTCTTCCGAGTACTCACAAAGTATGAGTTCCCCATCTTTACCGGTCAAGTCATCGGGTTTTCTCATAAAAAACATATCTCCGCCACCGCTGGCAATCCTTTCCTGTTCTCTCATTTTCGCCTTTCGTTTGATATGCTTAAGGAGTGGAACCACACCGTGTGGTAAAGAATCAGCTATAGCTCCGTGAGAATATCGTTTAAGAGCTGGTCTATGAAACGCACGTAATCTTTGATAATTTAAAAATGTTGGAAAAAACGGTTGTCTTAATTCGAGAGCTGGAATAGAGTGCTGAATAAGATTAGCTCCAACATTGGTTTTAAGAGCGGCATCGGTGGCCAGTTTTGGATTATAGTATTCATCGTTTGATATATTGAAAGGATCTTTCTCTTCATTTATAGGTGATGGTGGACTCGCCATCTCTGGTTCAGCAATAACACCAGCTTTGCCTAAAATAAGTCGTGATTTCTTGACCATCACTTTCTTCTCTTTTGGAGTTATAGCTGTTTTCTGTGGTTCAGCGTTCGGGTCGATATCATCGGGAATATCGAGAACAATATTTTCATCGTTGGGGTCGAGAGTCAATATTCTTGGTTCCGGTACTTTGTAAATGTTTTCCGGATCCCATATTACTTCTTCCTGTTTTAAAACAATATTAAATACTTACAGTATATCAAACTAAACACACTGTCATTACCTCCCAATTTCCATAAACTAATTCCTCATTTTCAACGGGAAATATAGAATACCAGGTATTGTCGGGTGGTTCCTGAATCTCAATTTTTTTGTTATCCCCTTTTTTGTTACTCGCAATAATTGGTTTATTAATTGTCGGCGTCGGCGGAACACTTCCACGTAAATGTTGAGTGAATGCCGAAGCTGTTCTGTTAAGACCAGACGGTACCCAACCGGCCGCGTGATTCTTATCGTTCAATTTGGCCAAAACTTTGGACTTTATTTCATCGCCATTCCAAATGATGTCATTTTCCCATTGCACTTGTGTTACCATATGATAAGCATCGTCTGAATCAATACTATTTTCATTGTCACCATTATATGCTTCTTCATCATCTGAAGTGTCCTGTTTGCCGACTTTGAACCCATAATCAAAACCGTCTCCATTTTCTGGTACATTCAAATTGTCGTACCAGTACTGTGCCGGTCCGTACCTCCAATCGGCAACATTTTGATTCGATTCATCTTTCGAGTCATTTTCTTGTCTTCCGCTATAATTTTTAAGCTCAAGAGGTCTCTTAAGCTTTTCTTCGTCATCCTCTTCAATCATTTCTGGTGGTGGTGTCGGTGCGAAATTAAATTTCCATTTAGAGTCTTCATCTGATAAGCTGTCATCTGATTCAGACTGAAATTTTGTGATAAATATATTTAATATTCAAAAAACAGTATTTAAAATCAATAATAATAATAACCAATAAAAAAATTCATTTACCGATCGTCTATTTACTAAAGTATCAAATAATTTCCTTTTTCTCTTATTTTTAACTCCTTTCCAAAGCTGTGGAAGACTCGATGGTTTTCCGCGACCAAACAAACGGGAAAATCGTAAAACTTTGTTCGACCGAAATTCGGGGAATAGTTCGGAAACATCGAGATCGACATATTTTGTTGGCAACATTGCGGCCAAAGGAGTGTCCAATTTTTTAGATTTTTGTTCTGATAATTCTTTTGATTCGTTATTAGCATTGTTTAAATTATTATTATTTAAATTATTTATATTATTTAATTGTAGAGCTGACAGATTAGTTTGCAATTCACGCTTTATAGAACTAATAGCTTTATCGGGTATTTTAAAGCCATCGCTGTCCACTTTGACTTCCGTGACATCGGGTGTATCATAATCGTCGTCTTCGTCAGTCTTTGTTTTAAATAATTGTGTCGAAAGTTTGAGTGACTCTTCAAATGATTTTTCCTCATCAGCGCTCACGTCTACCAATTCATTAATATCCGAATAGTCGACAGCAGTCGGAGATTTGTTGCTAAAATCGTCTTAAAATATACCAAAATAAATAAATTTAACAAATATTCAATAAATATTTGATAATTTAAATAAAACAAAATATATAATAGAGTATTAGATCAATAAAAAAAAATTAATCAAAACTTGTCAAAATAATAATACAATCAAAACTATTTATAAAAACAATTAATAATAAAGAAAAAATAAAATGAAAAAAAAATTAATAAAATATCAGATAAACTGTGAATAATTTGTTATTTATAAATACTTAATGTTTAATACTAATAATTGATTTAATCTTAATGAACATTAAATAAGTAATAATATTTTATATCTAAATATAAAAATCTAATAAAAATAGTTTTCATTTTTTTGAATTAAACAAAATTTATTGAAAATTATTATTTATATCATATACTGTATTATGTAATTAAGTCTAAAGATTTGAATTCAATAGTAAATCTAATAACAGAAATATCATTAAAAATGATGGCAAACAAAGACAATCAATGATTCATACAGTCATCTGATTTACGATCATTTGTGTCCAATTGGTTTGACTGACTCTGTGAACCATAACTGCTGTCAATACTATTACGTCTTTGTCGTCGTTGACCACTACTATCATTGACATCATTGTTAAGACCATTCACTTTATTATCACTAGTATTATAGTCATTGTCCTCTGTTTTTCTTGGGGTCGACTCTCGAGTACTGTCACTCTCTTCGGCTCCACTTTCGTAATCGTCGTCTTCATCTACGATATCATTGAATGGTATATATGATAACAAATGTGATTTGATTGACGATAAGTGTCTTTTGGATGTCTCGTCAAAGATATCGTCGACAAGATTGCCGTCGGCGTCGATATTGCCGAACAATATTGATGTCAGACTGGAGGCCATACTATTGCGTGAATGTCTTTCGCCGTCATCGCGACCGGTCGTCACCGTATCGTAGTCTTCATCGGATGACATCCTCTTAATGGTCACAAACACAACACAATTAACAAATAAATAAATAAATAAATGATTTTATTTCAAAACTCATAACAATTCATAAGTCAGACATATTTGTTGTCAAATAAACACTTATTTCAGTCTACACTCCAAACACATTACATGCACTCAATTATAAACATACTTTCAATGCTTTTTTATCACAATTATGTGTTACTATAAAACAGTTAAAAATAGTTGTTATAAAAGGGGTTTAAAGTTTAAACTTAACTCAATATAAGATTAGAGTAGTTTCGAGTTTATACTGTATTTTATAATGTTTTTTATTCATAAATTATATTAAAATACTTTTAAAAAATATTTATGTGTTTATTATCGTTCAAATGCAACAATAAATGACAAAAATTTTGTTACTTAAACTAATTAATAATAAAATAATCGCTTTATAGCTAATATACAGTCAAATTGATACAACAGTTTATAAATATTAAAAATAAAATAGATTAACATGGACAATTTAATAAATTATATGTTATTGATTTATTAGTTAATTGATTTTATATATGATAATAATTTATATAAATGGCTTAATTTGTTGTCCAAACAATATATAATAAATACTATAACTTATATCATGAATGTATTGAAATATATCGTCAATTAATAGATACTTTTGAATTATTAATATGCAAATAATGACACTCTTGTTATTTTTTATATTATTAATAAAGTATTTTAATTAAAAAATATTTTTATTAAAATTTCAAATTTATATCTAGATATGTATATATTCTAGATTATAATAGGATATATATTATAATATAATATGATTATTATATAATCTAATAAAACAAATATTCAAAGAATCGTTGTTTTATAAAATTATTTTATTTTTAATTCAAATTATATACTGATTGGTCCAAAAAGTTATGTCATTCGAAAAACACAAATATTTAAAAAACTGATAAATTTATTTTAATCAAACAAAAAATTTTATAAAATTAAGTAAATGGAAATTCTTATTTTAATAAAATTAAATTTTTAAAAATCAAAATGGCGGAGTTATGAGACATTAAATAAATTATAAAAAAAGTTAAATAGCTTCACGACCTTTATTTTAAAAAAATATGGTAATCAGCCCTCTGTTATTGAATATAAAGCCAAATTTAACAAACATAAAAAATTCATTGAAAAATATATTAAAACTAAGTTATAAATATTTTAAAATACTTAAATTTTTCATATTTTTATAAATGATAAAATTTATTTTTAAATTTAATTTTAGTGATAATGACTATTTATGTTCTTATTAAAGAAGAGTAATTTAATTTTAAAAATCAAAATTCTTTAAATTTAAACAATAATAAATGGATGCATAAAAATACTATAAATGAATAAATTTCATACAGTCTTCAACTTTGAAATATAATTTCAATTAATGGCGGGTACTATGAAATTTAATTTTATCAAAATAGGAACTTTTTACTCAATTTTATAAAAATTTTTGTTTGAATAAAATAAATTTATCAGTTTTTTAAATATTTGTGTTTTTCAACTGACATTTCTCGATGGACCACTTAGTATATATGTATGTATATCATTATAAGGATTATTAATTGTATAATACAATTTGTATTATCTATTTATTTTAATTTATTCAATAAATAATTGTACAAATTTTATTGTCTTACACTAAATTATAATCTATTATTTACATTAGTGTACATTTTGTATAGCCATTAAATTATAAATATTTGATAAAATTATAATTAATTATGAAAAAGTTATCTAATTTTTGTAAAAAATGTTATATTCAATATCGTATTACTAATTGAAAGATTATTTTTGACACAAGTTTTATTAATGTAAATTGTTTATTTATGATAATCAATTTATAATATTTATATATATTAGCAAATAATTGATTTTTAAAAATTGTGAGTATTTTTTCAAACTTTGCATTACTTTAACTAATAGTAAGAGTCTTTAACTTAGTCTTAATTAATTGATTATAAAACTATAAACTTTCTATAATACTGTGTTTTATTAGTGTATAAAATAATTAAAAATGTATTTAATAGCTATATTGACTTTCAGGTCAAACACAAATTGACTTAAATTATATGCGCATATATTTTATAATATGCACCGTTAATATAGACATTATTAATACGACAGTCAAGTCTAGACTTAGCTATCAATAATAAGAGTCGATAGAAAAGTTTATACCAAACAAAAAAGCTGTCTATAGTTGTATTTCATCGCTACTTATTGTATGGCATTATATGATCGACTGGTTTGCATTGAACTAAATTGTTTGAAACAAAAATACTAAAGTTTTTTAATTCAAAATACTGTAAATAAAGTTTTGGGGAAATACTGATGTTTTACAGTAATTTATAACTATGTATAACAATATTTAAAATCAATTTTTTCATAAGTGATTTACTATTATTTTATACATAAATTGTTAGCATTAAATTTACTAAAAATAAATTCAAATATATCATATAAATATATGGCCCAAATTTTGTTTTGTAGACCTAACACTCATTTTGTTTTGTTGAATACAAATTTCCAATAATAAGGAGATTATTGTTTTTTGCTTTTATTTTGTAATATTTTTTGTCGAAAGTTAATATTTAAATAATAAATCATATTTCTTGGTTCAAACAATTTATCTTTAAATTGCTTACATATAAAATAAATTAAATGTTTTCAAAAAAAAAATAATTATATTCTTTAAAAAAATAAAAGTTTTGTTAAATGAAAGTTCTAAATATAGAAACATTTAATTTGTAAATTAGTATTAAAGTCAGGTTTTATTGTATATATAGTATATCTTTATTGAAAGTAATGTTTGATTTATTGAGATAATATATGAAGCTATCAGTTTATATGACATGACCTATTATTATCAATTATTATAATAACAATATTATTCAGTAATCAGTAAAATATATCAATATAGCAAAACTATATATTGTTTATACTACCGGTAAATCTAATTGTTAAGCATTTATATCAAAGTTTTATAACAATTAACAAAAATATTGACATTTATATAAATAGTTTTTAATAAACTATTTTTAAGTATAAATAATTAGCCATATAAAATTTTAAATACAAAAATTAATTGAATAGTAAATTATAATATTTGTTTTTAATTCTATATAAAATTTTTACATAATTTAAATTTTTAAAATGTAAATTTATTTTATCTTGACATAAATATAATAATAAAATAACTTTAATGTGCAAAAATAGATTTATATAATATAAAGTATAATTATTAATCAAAAAATAATATTATATAATGATAAAAATTGTAAGTTTGACTTACTTTTTCATCACTTAATAGCAACAATTAACTAGTTGATTTGTGGACACTAGTGTTTCGGTACTCACTTAGTACCTTCATCAGCACTGTTGCACTGATAGTCAAAGACATACCAGTGCTTTAAGCCATACGGGAAGTCGGTGTTTGGGTTAGACATATGATATACAAACTTATTTGTTTTTATTAAATATGTATAATAATAAAATTATATAAATAATTGATCCCAAAATTGACCAATAGTGTCCACAAATCAACTAGTTAATTGTTGCTATTAAGTGATGAAAAAGTAAGTCAAACTTACAATTTTTATTATAATGTGTGACATCAACTTTAAAAATCTTAATAAATTAATTATTATATAATGTATTTATTAATGATTATCAAATATTGTATGAATATAACACATCGTCAATATGACAATCGATATTTGTATTCATATAAAAAGTAAATTTAACAATATTTTGTGCAAATTAGTGAAAACATTTCATCATTTTTTATAATTTGGATTTCCTACAGTTTCTCATTATTTTATTTAAAAAAGTTAGTTAAATTAATTTTTTCATTATGTAAAATGTCTTATTTTTAGTATTAATAATCACTACACACACACATAGATATATTATAATCACTATATATAACAACTATATTATATACTACTCTTATATAATTTAACAATTAACATATACGTATGCATATATCTGTAGTACAAATTAAAGTAAAGTACAAATTAAAGTACAAATTAATTCAAAGATTTTATTATATTTGATTTTTTGATTAAACAAAATTTCCAATTTACAAATACATTTTAGTAATTATAAATATATAATTTATATTTTATGTAATATAGTTGTTATGCTAGTAAATAATAGTAATTATATATATATATATATATATTATACTGTATAATATACAGTGTATATATACTGCTTATTTTTATTAATTTATTTTATATTAACAATTAATTTAGATGTAATTTTGATTAAAATACTGTAATAAAGTATCAATATATTGTATATAAATTTATATACAGTATTATTGTATTTTATCACATAAAAATTAATTCATGAAATTTCAATATCAATGTAAGAATATTATTTAATAATAAACAAAAATAAAGCAATTATATTAAGATTTGTTAAATAAAAATTTAATTAATTTTTTTAACTGCAATTATAATAAGTTTAATATCATCAGACACTTGTCAACATTGTTTAATAACAATTGGATGTTTAATGTAAACACATTAAGTAATAACAGGTTTATTGTATAAATACAATAGTATAATAAACATGTTTTAAATTAACCCATTTATGATGAAAACGTAAGAAATATTGTTAAAAGATGTTAATTGCATTTTTGAATAATTACTATAATAATAATTTGATATTTTCATATTTTAATTCAGATATAAGTATACAAACATATATTTATATAAAAATTTGTTTATATTATTACAATTATATAAAAATAAAATTATTTTATGAATCGAGGGTCATATATGAGAAATATACCGGATTTTATATTTTATTACTTTTATTTGTTTTATAAATTAAATTATCTTTAATTAAAATACTATTATTTTTACATAATAATTGATGAATATAAATTGTATGATTAATACAGTTTTATTTTATAATATAATTAGTTTTTAGTTTGTTTTTTTTTTATAAAAAAAAACTTACAATTCAAAACACTTTTGGTGACAATGTGTTAGTACTTTACTAAACACTCGACTGTTTTCACTGTCAATTTGGGACTATTATTAACACAAGTCTGATATAAACTTATTGAAAGTAAGAGTGATATTAACTTTTTGGTCACTTTTTAAGTATAATATTTTTATAGATGAAAAACAGACACTTATTAAAATTAAAACATATTAAAAACTAAAACTTAATTTTAGTTGTAAATAGTTTTTATAATTAAAATAACACATTATATAACATATAAAATATAACAATATAATAAAATATTAATTATATGTAACTTTTCAAATAAATAATTCATAAATTAATGTTTTTAATTTAAATCAACTTTAAATAATTATTTATAGATATCAATATTTATGTTAATTTTGTTTAAGTTGTCATTAAATATTATTTTGTATTAAAAATCTTCAATTATTTAAAAATATAATTAATAAGATTATTGACTAATATATAATACAAAATTATATTTCTATTATAAAATTTTTAATAATGCATTATTTATTAATTATTGGTGTATCTATAATTTTGTGATAAATAAATTATATCAACTAATGTAATATGTGACAAATTAAATAATACATACACATTTATACTACTGTATAAATCAATATATATACAGGTAATATCTATACATACATTATATAGTACTGTATATTTAAAATATTATTACATTTATAATGTAAATGATTTAAAATGATCAAGCTCAAAGATGTGTTTTATGATATGCTATAACTTATCAAATGATTAGATTGTATTATATATTACATTACATTAATTTGTATTAAGTAAAGACACAATTGAGACACTAATGATCCAAAATTATAAATAAATACATATATTAAACATATAATTATGTAAACATGTTTAAAATAAACCTTAATGTAAAGTATGAGCTAAACATATAAAAGTATTTGTATTTTTTCTATTTAATTATATATTTTATAAATTCAGTTCAAAAAATATTATTTTAAAAGAGTAAAACACGTGTGAACTCTAAAATATGACTATAACTGTTTAGAATATTACCTAGGTACAGTATAATATAGTACAGTACAGTACATAACTTTAATTTTAAAGTTTATATGTTTGACGTAATAGCATGTGTCAATTTTTATTTGTATTCAAAATTTTACAATTGCTTTTTTTATTGCAAACTATATCTAATTGCTTTTAACTATACATTTATAATTTTATATTTAGGGATCATTCATGTGATAAAATTATCATAAACGATTAAAATAATAGCAATAAATGTAAAATTTTATTTGTTTTGATAAATTAACGCTAATATAAAAAAGGAAATAAAAGTTTCTTATAATATAAAGGAAATAAAGGGTTAAAAAACAACAAGAATTGGCCCCAAAAACGGAATATAAATGATTATTACGAGAGAAAACACCTTTTAGTTTAAAAGTTAGGCTACAAATCAATTAGTTTTTGTCTCATCTTATCATTAATCCCAGTGTTAAGCACCGGTACAACTTGTAAGAGAAACTATTATTATTATTATTATTATTATTAGTTTTTATTTTTTATTTTTTATTTTTACTTAAACTCAGAAATTTTTTAATTGACCACATATTTTTGGGTTTTGAGGTCGTATTATATTATCAATACGACTAAACCGTTAGTTTTATCCATACACTCACTTTATAGGTAATTATTATTATTACTAATATATTTATATGGTATGGCTATGGTTTTGGGCGCTAACCCCGTAATAGTGATGTTTGCCTATGATGTGTGCGCAGTAGTGGTGGATGGCATGGGATGTAGAGATGAAGGGAGGGATCAACACGTGTGGAGTTGTGTTGTGTTGTGTTGTCTAACATTTGATTTATATATATTAGTGAAAAGTTTTCTCTAAATTATTCATTCATTCATTCATTCATTAAGTTTTACACCGATTTCTATGTGTTGTCTAAACATTTGATTGTATGCCACAAAATATTTAACAATTTTCGTGACAAAAATTGATTTATAAAAATCAACATTTTTTCACTCAAATCAACTTTTATCAATATTTTATTAATTTATTATATTATATTTATTAAATGTGCAAATAATTATTTACAATTAAAAAATATAAATATGACACAAATGTCATGTATTAAAATCCTAGTTCTTGGAGCCAAATGTGTTGGAAAAAGTGGTAAGCAATCAATAGTTTAAAAATTAATATTTAATATTTAGAATATTATATTTATATATAAATAATTATTTTATTAAGATTTTATACTAAAAAACACGAAAATAGTTAAAGATATAAAAATAAATACACTTTCATTGAAATGAAAAAAATATTGAATAAAATTGTTAATTGATTATTCAATTCTTTAAAATAGAATTTTCATTTCAAACCTCATTTGACCAATAATTTTGACCGCATTTTGATTTTATGAATGCATTTATTTATAAAAAATTATATTATTTATAATATCTTTAGGTTTAGTTTTTAAAAAATATAATATATTAATAATATGACCCACGGCATAAAAAGTAATAGTTTATATTAATAATTATTTTTCTGCTAAACTGTATCTTAAATAATATTAAGTAATTTTTCGCTTTACTTAAGCTAAATGTTCATTGATTTTAAGTAAAAATACAGTAAAATCTTTATTTTTAAGTAATTGTATATTTTAAAAAATGCATTTACAAATATTTTATTTTCATAAATTGTTATAGCAAACATTATTAAATTTTGTATACTGTAATAATATATTAATACTTATAAAAATGTTTAATAATAGTATAGAAAGAAAATATAATTTTACATTAATATTAAATATTATAAAATTAAAGTAGTTTAATATACAGCAAATATATTTTGAAATTATTTACAATTAAGAGTTTAATAATTATAAATTATAATTAATATCTAATGAAAATTGCATAATATTTTGTATTTACTTTTTATAGTTAGTAATTATTATAAATTGTTAATACAGTATAAACTGTAGAAAATTTATATGCAAATTGCATTAATAACTATTTATTTATTTAAAATAATTTTTTTGTCATTTTAGAATTTCTAAATGTCATTTAATATATGTAAATCATAAGTAATATATTAATAAAATGATTGTATTTAAACTATAATTTTTGAATATTTAAATGTTTTTTATACAAAAAAAATATTTATTTTATTTTAATTAATACTTTTATTTAATTGCAATATTTTAATACAGTATATAGTAATATTATACTTTAATTCAATTCATTTAATATATTGTAAATTAGATAAATAATTGCTAACTTATTTAAGACAAACAAAAAAAATAAATGATAATTGTTTTTTGAAATTATTTATATTTAATTAAGTAAAGTGAATGTTAAGAGAGTGAGTGAGTGAGTGAGTGAGAGAATACTGCGAATCTAATAAATATATAAAACAAGAAATGAGACAAAAGTCATACAAGTGTTGATATATTTAAATATCAATAAAATAAATGTTTAAACATTGACTGTTATATATATCGGTATATATATACTATTTATTCAAACAATTACAAGCAAACTATTATATTTGATGTTTCAATTGAATGTTAACTTAATTGTTGAGTTCATCGAACCATTACTTGCTTTTATACATATATTGCAATTGAGATTATAATTTGATTTTATGTTTGATATAGCTTTGCATTGTCTAACTTTATATTGAATTAAATATATTTTAATTTTTATTTCTATCCAAGTATTGATTAAAATTGTTTTCAAAGTAAAATATCTTAACAGTATATACAGTATATATATATATATATATATATATATATTATGCATTTACTGTACAGCAAAGCACTGGAAATCTCCAGAATTTCAATGTTAGAAATAAATCTCTTTGAATATAACATTGAAATACATTATATGAGACACTCTTTGATGGCTTCGGTGTCCATATGTCTGAGGAATGAAAGAGATCTTTTCAAGTGATGATAAACATCTTTAAGGACATATAGTATTTAGAGATTAATTTGAGGGTTAATTGTAATGATAAGGAAACGGGTAGGAAATGGGAGACATTTTTGGATGTCATCCTAAATACTTATTCTTTCACTCTTTAAATTAAACACCAAATGACTCATTCAATCATAACATAAAATAAGTGATAAAAGCATTTCTTAACTAACAATGATCTTCAAAAGTGACAAATCATTTATTTTTGATAAAACACAAACTCATAAATAAAACACATTTGTTGTTGTCTTTCATTATTATTGTTACAATTTTAATCTAAAGTTATGTTAAATTTATACATTAACAGTAAATTTATTGTATTGAAAATATTAGATGCATTTAAATTAGTTGAAACAGTTAATTATTTATACAGGTATGTAATATACTGTATTATAAACATTAATGTCTAGATTTTTAAGTATAATTATTAATAAATATAAGATTATTAGTATATAGTAAATAAATAAATATATATATAAATAAACTAAATATCAAAATTATATTAATGATCGTTTCCTATATTAAATTTAAATTGTATTTGAATTATATTTTTATCATAAAATTTACTGTAAATATTTACATTACATAAAATTTTAACTATATATTTTTATAAGTACTAGAAACTATTGCACATCAAATTGAATTTACAAATAATTTTTCAACAAAAATTTACAGTAAATCAATATATTAGTGTATATTACTGTACATATACCGTATAATATTTACTAACAGATAAAAATATTAAGATTACTTTTATTTATAAAAATCTATTAAAACTATTTTTTAAAGAAATACTTATAATGTCTAAACATATAAATTATTGTTTTATATTAGTTGAATAACAAAAATATTTATTTTTTAATTTGAATCTAAGATTTTATACTAAAAAACACGAAAATAGTTAAAGATATAAAAATAAATACACTTTCATTGAAATGAAAAAAATATTGAATAAAATTGTTAATTGATTATTCAATTCTTTAAAATAGAATTTTCATTTCAAACCTCATTTGACCAATAATTTTGACCGCATTTTGATTTTATGAATGCATTTATTTATAAAAAATTATATTATTTATAATATCTTTAGGTTTAGTTTTTAAAAAATATAATATATTAATAATATGACCCACGGCATAAAAAGTAATAGTTTATATTAATAATTATTTTTCTGCTAAACTGTATCTTAAATAATATTAAGTAATTTTTCGCTTTACTTAAGCTAAATGTTCATTGATTTTAAGTAAAAATACAGTAAAATCTTTATTTTTAAGTAATTGTATATTTTAAAAAATGCATTTACAAATATTTTATTTTCATAAATTGTTATAGCAAACATTATTAAATTTTGTATACTGTAATAATATATTAATACTTATAAAAATGTTTAATAATAGTATAGAAAGAAAATATAATTTTACATTAATATTAAATATTATAAAATTAAAGTAGTTTAATATACAGCAAATATATTTTGAAATTATTTACAATTAAGAGTTTAATAATTATAAATTATAATTAATATCTAATGAAAATTGCATAATATTTTGTATTTACTTTTTATAGTTAGTAATTATTATAAATTGTTAATACAGTATAAACTGTAGAAAATTTATATGCAAATTGCATTAATAACTATTTATTTATTTAAAATAATTTTTTTGTCATTTTAGAATTTCTAAATGTCATTTAATATATGTAAATCATAAGTAATATATTAATAAAATGATTGTATTTAAACTATAATTTTTGAATATTTAAATGTTTTTTATACAAAAAAAATATTTATTTTATTTTAATTAATACTTTTATTTAATTGCAATATTTTAATACAGTATATAGTAATATTATACTTTAATTCAATTCATTTAATATATTGTAAATTAGATAAATAATTGCTAACTTATTTAAGACAAACAAAAAAAATAAATGATAATTGTTTTTTGAAATTATTTATATTTAATTAAGTAAAGTGAATGTTAAGAGAGTGAGTGAGTGAGTGAGTGAGAGAATACTGCGAATCTAATAAATATATAAAACAAGAAATGAGACAAAAGTCATACAAGTGTTGATATATTTAAATATCAATAAAATAAATGTTTAAACATTGACTGTTATATATATCGGTATATATATACTATTTATTCAAACAATTACAAGCAAACTATTATATTTGATGTTTCAATTGAATGTTAACTTAATTGTTGAGTTCATCGAACCATTACTTGCTTTTATACATATATTGCAATTGAGATTATAATTTGATTTTATGTTTGATATAGCTTTGCATTGTCTAACTTTATATTGAATTAAATATATTTTAATTTTTATTTCTATCCAAGTATTGATTAAAATTGTTTTCAAAGTAAAATATCTTAACAGTATATACAGTATATATATATATATATATATATATATATTATGCATTTACTGTACAGCAAAGCACTGGAAATCTCCAGAATTTCAATGTTAGAAATAAATCTCTTTGAATATAACATTGAAATACATTATATGAGACACTCTTTGATGGCTTCGGTGTCCATATGTCTGAGGAATGAAAGAGATCTTTTCAAGTGATGATAAACATCTTTAAGGACATATAGTATTTAGAGATTAATTTGAGGGTTAATTGTAATGATAAGGAAACGGGTAGGAAATGGGAGACATTTTTGGATGTCATCCTAAATACTTATTCTTTCACTCTTTAAATTAAACACCAAATGACTCATTCAATCATAACATAAAATAAGTGATAAAAGCATTTCTTAACTAACAATGATCTTCAAAAGTGACAAATCATTTATTTTTGATAAAACACAAACTCATAAATAAAACACATTTGTTGTTGTCTTTCATTATTATTGTTACAATTTTAATCTAAAGTTATGTTAAATTTATACATTAACAGTAAATTTATTGTATTGAAAATATTAGATGCATTTAAATTAGTTGAAACAGTTAATTATTTATACAGGTATGTAATATACTGTATTATAAACATTAATGTCTAGATTTTTAAGTATAATTATTAATAAATATAAGATTATTAGTATATAGTAAATAAATAAATATATATATAAATAAACTAAATATCAAAATTATATTAATGATCGTTTCCTATATTAAATTTAAATTGTATTTGAATTATATTTTTATCATAAAATTTACTGTAAATATTTACATTACATAAAATTTTAACTATATATTTTTATAAGTACTAGAAACTATTGCACATCAAATTGAATTTACAAATAATTTTTCAACAAAAATTTACAGTAAATCAATATATTAGTGTATATTACTGTACATATACCGTATAATATTTACTAACAGATAAAAATATTAAGATTACTTTTATTTATAAAAATCTATTAAAACTATTTTTTAAAGAAATACTTATAATGTCTAAACATATAAATTATTGTTTTATATTAGTTGAATAACAAAAATATTTATTTTTTAATTTGAATCTAAGAAAATGTTTTTTTTTGAAAGATGTGAAAATAAGAAATTATATGAAAAATATTTTTAAAAATTATATATTATTACATAAAAGCTTAATTTTTAAAGCTTTCGTTAAGTTTTAATTTGTCTACACATACTGTATATATAGTATTTATGTTAAAAACAGTTGTTTTGCTAAAACTTAAATCAATTTATTTTGTAAAATTTTTATAATGGGTGATTCACATATTACGTTCGCACTTTGGGAGGGGGTGTCAACCAAAGTGAACTTTTGCGAACGAGGGGAGGGGTAGAGACCTTAAGAACGTTTGCATTTAAATATTTAAATTTTATTTCTTAGGGTTGGGATTAGTAACATGCGAACATAGGGGAGGAAAATGGGTCTAGATTTCTTAAAATGTGCGAACATAATATGTGAATCATCCCTAACAAAAATATATAAATTATTGATTATAAATTATACAGATTTTATTTATTTTTCAATTAATTCCCAGTTGTATTGCACACAATATTTATTTTTTTAAAAAACGATACAATTAGAAATGTATACAAAAAGTATATATAATTTACTGTATTTGCTTAAGATTTTGTTTAAACTAAAAAGAAGTCAATGATACTTAAAATTTAATTACTAGAGTTTTAAAACTATATACAATTGTTAGAAATGTTTATTTTTCATAATATTGTTTTTTATATGTTTATTATTAATGAATTATTTTATTGGTATTCATATATATTTAAAAAACTAATGTAATTTCAAAATTTTCATTTAACTAAATTTTTTGAGCAATTATTTACTTGTTGTCCAGTTTTAGCACATTTTGATTTTTAAGCATTTTTTAATTATTTTTTGTGATTATATAAATGATGACACGTTTTTAAAGTTATCTAAATTAAACACTGAATTATTAAGTTATATTTCTAAAATATCATATAATAAACCCTATTGTTTAGCAATTTTTTATATCCGAAAAATTCAATGACCTCTAAATGAAAAAATAATATCAATATTTAGTGTTTCATTCAATACATAACATAACATAACTCTTGGACGACATTAATCCTTAAACTTAGTATCAGTCTCTGTAAGAGTTCATTTGCTCCACAAAAAAATATTTCTTTTAATCAAAAAATAAAATAAATAAATATAAAAATTGCAATCATTTGGGATTATTATTATTATTATTATATTATTATTATTATTACTACTACTACTACTACTATTACTACTACTACTACTACTACTACTACTACTACTACTACTAMTAATAATAATAATAATAATAATAATAATAATAATAATAATAATAATAATATATCAATAAAAACTTTCTTAATATTTTTCAAATTAAATAGTGAATAATGCGACAATTTTAAGTCAATGTTAATAACATCAATGTTGCAAAATATTTACTTACAAATATCACATAAAAATTTATTTTAAGTAAAATATTGAAAGTAATTAATGAATTTGTTTATTGCTTTCTCTCTTTAGAAAAGTTTATTTAAATTTTAGTTATGATATAAGCTTTCAAATAATTTGAGAAAAAATATGTTGTTTTCTAAGTGTATTACTCTCTAAAAATAAATATCTTTATATAGTATCACATATTTACAATTGAAATGAAAATTTAATATATGTTTTTTAATAATATTTTTTTGTTTATTTCCCTAAATAACTATTAATAGTCTATAAACCATACGTTAATTTATTTTTAAAAATATTTGTATCTTTATTATATACAAAGAAAAAAGTGAGAAAAATATAAATAATATTGAGTTCAGAAATGCATAAATTAATATTAAATCTTGAGATTGAGTTCAATATTAAAATTTTAGTTTAAAAAATTGGTTTATTATTTTTACTATTATTCAAATGCACTGAATAATTATGAAATATTGACACACGATTTGCTGACAATTGAGAGTCAATCACTTTATTAGTTTACTTTAACATTCATATTGAGTAAAAATATCACAAAAATAGATATAAATCTCATAAATGAGAGGAAATACTGTTTGTGTGAAGTATTGGTGTGAATAAGTCATGTTTTGTTGTCTAATAATCTTTGTCTGTCTGTATGTCGATCTCAAGAAATCAGTAGATTTTTTTGGATGTATGCCCTATAAGTCGGAGCTCATATCCCACCGAAGCCTTGATCCACTTATATTGAAAAAAACTCATTTTTAATTCTTTACTTTCAGTTAAAAATACTCAAGAATTTAAATAATTTAAAAAATTAAGTACAAGTGTTTTGACTAACAATCAAATTCATTATAATAAACAAATACATTGAGTTAACGCAATTAAAATATCAATAGCTTAATCATTAAATTTTTTTATATCAATAGTTAATCATTGAATTTTTTATTGTCAACTAAATAAAATCTAATATAAATCATAGAAAAAGCATACATAAAGCTAAAGTAAGTCAGTTTACTGTTTTTTTATTTTAGCATAAAAATTGTGCAAATTTTATGTGTCCCGAAAAAATTTAAAACTAGTAATTGATTTTTTATGTAATTGAAGTTACATTGAAGGCTATCTGAAATTTTTCTTTCTTTTTTCAATATTTCTATTTTAATAATTTTATCACAATTTCTGCAACTGATTTGTTATTACATATACTTTTTATACGGAAAATTTTATTTCAAATATATGTTTAATAGCTTATATTAATTAAATTTATTGATTTCCTACTGAGCCTCAAAAAAATAAAAGAATTATAGAAATAATGTTTTTAAAGGCAAACGATCTATTAATTGATAGATTACTGTAATTATTATACATTATATACTGTATAATTCACAGCATATACAGTATAATAAGTAAATACTGTATATATAAATATATAATTTATTTATAACTAATTTTATCATATATATTTCATTTTTATATAGATATTGAGTTTTTAGCAAAAAAATATCGATAAATAATATTCTATATTAATTTTGTGTGATAAAACTCATGTGATTAAGTCAAATGATAACAGAATTAATTTTTATCCAACAAATTATAAAATACTAAATTAAAAACTTGTTATAGATTTTTTATTATGTGAATATCATATGTGTATATTAATTAAAAAAATTTTTTTATTACAGCAATAACTGTGCGATTTCTAACTAAGAGATATATTGGAGAATATAAGTCAAATACAGGTAAATATAATTTGTTGAACATCTCTTATATGATATTAATTATTAAATAAATAACTAAAGTAATAAAATTGCGATTATGTATTTTTTTAAATTTAATACTAAAATATATACTAAAAACTATTACAATTATACTTTTTAAAATATTTTAGTATAAAATAATAATAATAAAATTATATTAAAAGTTTAGACTTTCACTGATTTCTTAAAATTTATAAGTTTTATTTATAAACAGCAAACAAATTGATTGTAAGCTACAGTACATATACATTGAATTGAAAGTATTAATAAATAAAACACCTGTACACTCTTTATTGTATTTTTATTTAATAATAAAAATATTTGTTGTTTTATAAATTGATTATTAAAGGCATATTCTGGGAAACAATCGTTTTATTTGTTATTATTTTCACTTTTTTATCAGTCAATAAAATTTTATCCAATTGTTACAAAATAAAAAATAATTGAAGACACGAGTTTGAACTCAAACTATAGATTTTATTTACTAATATAAACACATTTACACACAAATTGTGTAAAAATCCTTATTTAATCTTCAAAATTAGCTTACAGTAAGTTTCCTTTATTTTGTGTGCATAAATTTTTTAGTAGTATTGTTTTGTATACTTACTTTAGTACAGTAAAAGACAATATATTCAATATATAATATAAATTATGACACAAATCATATTAAATGTAGATTTAAAGTCATTGTTATAAACAAAATATTTAATTTTAATTTAATTTTGAATTAATGATAAAGTGTGCAATTTGATAATTAATTGTAATAATATTTATAATAATTATATTAAATTTTACTTATAATGTATATATTTATAGATTGGTTTTATCAGCAGAAAGTAAAAACAGATAACGGAATGACAAATGTCGAAATTCTTGACATATCCAGAGATTGGACGGTTAGTGACAATAATTTTATAATTAATTTTTTTGTTGTAAATAATAAATATGTTTAAACAATTAGGACAATGAAAATATGGTAAATAAGGATCAGATAGAATGGGCCGAAGCCTATGTCATAATTTATAGCATTTGTGACCGAAATAGCTTTCAATTGGCTCAACACTATCTCCAATATATTACAGCTATTCGGGGACCCGTTTATGTACCCATTATTTTGTTGGCCAACAAACGTGATCTCGAGGTCGGCCGACAAATCACTAAAGAAGAGGGCACTTCATTGGCTCATAAATTTGGATCACAATTTTTTGAAGTAAATCTTCACTCATTTTTTATATTATCAAATGATTCAAATTAGATATTATTCAGTTTTACTGCATAAATGTACTGAATGTTAAAGATATGGTCAATTAAAATGATTAGTTGTTTAATATGTAATAAAATGAAAATAATTTAATCCTATAATAATGATATAAAGATAATACAAATCTAATAGTTTATGATTTATTAATTGTCAGATATCTGCTGCCGATAGCAATTTGGGTGTTTCTCAGGCCTTTGAATGGCTTCTTCATCAGTCCAACAAAATATCGCACCGATCGGACACAAACCACTCAAATCGTAGCCATAATAATAATCACCGAAAACTAAGTATTGTTACCGTTTCGCGGGTATTCAGTGCGTTTGGTCACGTCTTTGGGAAAAGTCATCACAACAATCATAATAACAATACCAACAACATTACCAATGATGTCAATAACAATATCAACCAAAACAACAATCATTATAATCAAAATAATGGTCATTTGATACGATATAAAAACCAAACAAACTATGCTCTCAATGCTAAACGAAAATTAGTGGGAGTAATGATACCGACTGTTAGGAGATCACCAAAAGCAGTCATATCTTTGTAAATGATAAGCCTTTTTAAAAGGTTATCTTTATCTGTGATAATAATGATTTCATACCATTTGTATTAAATATTATTGTAATATATTATTCAGTTATATAATATTTCAAACGTTATGTAACTTGTGTTTCCTTAAATACTGCATTATAATCATTATAAAAATGCATTAATTATTATTTATGTAATATTGTATAAATAAGCAAAAGCTTGTACTTTGTAATAATTATTGGATAATTTTTTGAAAATTATTTGTAATGTAAGATAAACAAGAAAAAAAATTATTTAAAATGTTTTCATAACATTTATAAACAAAACCATTCCCTAAAATAATGGATGAAATATAACTTTTGTCTGATTCAAATTTTATGTATTATTCATTATATGGATTTAATTTAATAAATAAATAAAATTGATATAAATAATTTAGATTTCATTTTTATTTATTTTATTATTAAATAAATTATGAAACATAAATATGTTTTATAATGTAAAATCGCGTAATACTGTATCTATTTATTAATATATCATATTTATGTTTAGTTTGTTGATTATCTGATTCTTTAAATAAGTAAAATTGGAATATTTGGTTAAATAAATAAAATAATTAATATTATTAATATTAGTCTCTATATTATACTATATTATAAACTAATTTGTGATATAATTTGGTATTAGCAATATTAATGATTTATTTTCAGTTAAAATAAAAAAAATATAATTTAAATAAAAAATACTGTATTATTATCATGTTATTTTTTAATACCATAGTGTTAATAGTATTTAAAGTATAAAAATCTTAGTAAATGCAAAATTATTATTATAAAATGTAATAAAAAATAAATCCATTAATTAGATAATATTGTGTTAAGATAATTATTTATTATTTATTAATTTTTATTTTTTTTTATTTATAAATTAAATAGTATTTTATCTTTTTTAAATATAAATAAATATAAATTATTTTATTTAATAGCAACTATTATTGTCAAATTCATATTGTATTTAATTAAACAAAGATAGGAAGTAATTTTATTAATTATTTTATTTAAAATTCTTATTTTTAACATATATTTTTAAAAGTATAAATTATACTTTAAATTTATTTAATATTTAATTATTATTAGTAAAATCATTTAATTATCATATAAATACAATATAACTTATAGTACTTTAATAACTAATTTTTGTTTTAATATTGTTAGTAAATGACAAAATATTTATGTTTTTAATAAAAATTTATATTTGAGGAAATAAATGAATTTTACAATACATTAAATCACTTTCAATGATTGAATTGAATGTAAACGACATTAGAGATCAAATAAAACAAATAAGAGTTGGAATGACTACAGTATATGATTGTATCCATTGATTGTCAACAATGACTGCATCCATGAAATTAGTATTTTTTATAATAGTCTATACATTTGGTTGTATAACTACAGTATATATTTGGTTATAGAGTTGGAGGCAATGTTTTATTAGAGAAATCTCTGGACTCGAGGAACGACAGGTTTAATGACTCGTTCACTGGAAAGTTCACCAAAAGTCAGTACAAAACCACAGAAAATCTTAGTTAAGATGAGATGAGAGACATTGCTCTCCAATAGACTTATTATTATATTGTATATAATATAATACAACTTTATAAACATAACCAACAAAAATGATAACAAATAACATCTTTGAGACAATTATTTCCTATAAAAACAATTGTCTCGAGAGAGTCAACGCTATATTTATATTAAATATTGAAATATTTTGTATTTTATTTATATTCAATATTCTATATTATTTATATACGAAATACGAATACATTTTATATTATATTTATATCTCAATAAAATTATTTATATTAATATCAATAATTAGGGAATATCTTAGAAATGATTTATAACTGTTAATAGAGTTGTGTATACTGTATAAGAGACCCACTGAGCACCGGTATGTTTGGATGATTAAGATTAGTAAAGATTTGTCAGGATTTTCACTGAACCAGACATACAATCGTTGACTTCTTTTACTGTCATTTCATTGAACTTTATTGCCATTTCTTATAGTTTTATATACAAACAAATTGCACATCAAGTCAACGGCACATTACTTAGACATACCGTAAATATTGTACATATTATCAGCACTGGTATGTCATAAAATAAATATTACCGATGAAGAAGCTCTATAATAAACTAAACGATTTGATTGAATTGTAAATAAAAATTGTCTTTTATTGACAAATAAGTTGTTTATTTGTTGTAAATACTTATTAAATTTATTTACTAAAATGAAACTACTTTTTAAAAACATTTTATTATAGATTATATAATTTGATAAATCAATATTTAATATTAAATTTTAAAAGTGGGATAACATATAAATTATCGTTGAAATATTGTATAATAATAAAAATAAAAAATAATTGAAAAATGATGATTAGTATTATTGTCATATAAATAATCAAATTGTTTTATTTATAATAAACAGAAACTTTATTATATTAGAAAAATTCAATTAAACACATTATTCAATTGCATATAATTATTTTATTTTTGTACTTATTATATATAATAATTCACAAAATTGGTGAAAAAGGTTTTTGTGTATACCTTTAGATTGGATAGAAATTTTTAAAAATATTTTAGTCACAACTATTGCTTTTTAGAACAGTCAGTTTGGTATAAACACTTTTTGTATAATTGGGCTCAGGTATCAGGTATACTTGGGGACAGGGATGATGCATATCACGAAAACTATAATAGATATTAAAATTCTATAAATTACAAATTATACTAGGTTAAAAATTATTAGATACGTGTTTAATAATGGTGTTAAAGTTAGTTGAATGGCATTTAATTAAAATTAAATTTTTTGTTTAAAAAATGAAACTTTAGAATGACATGACTTTTAAATTCTATATTTTATTACTAACAAATTATCTATACATTAAAATATGCTAGCTTGTTTATTTTTTAATATTTAAAAAATTATTTTTTCTAATTATAATTATTTATAAATTTTGTGATTTATGTAATAGCACATTTTGATGTATAGTTAATTGTTAGTAATAAAATATAAAATTTAAATCAATTAAAGTAATCACAATATATTGATAAATTTAAAAGTTATGCCATTCTAAAGTTTCATTTTTTAAACAAACAATTTAATTTTAATCAAATGCTATTCAACTAACTTAAAAATGCCGGAACACGTATCTAATAATTTTTAACCTAGTATAATTTATAATTTATAGAATTTAATATATATATTATAGTTTTTGTGATATGGATCATCCCTGTCCTTACATACCTAATCCCAATTATACAAAAAAGTTCTTATACAAATTTATAAATTATGCAACAAATTTTTTAAAAAATAAACATATCAAATATTTTATTATAAATCTCAATAACGCTAATCACATTTCTAAATATTTTTCAATTACAGTATAATCATTGATTATTAATCAATATATCAAATATTAAATTGTTTAACAGAAATAATGAAAATATATATACATTTAGCAAATTGTTTCAAATTTAGTGAATTAGTGAACAGATTTATTTATTTTAAATAATTATAAAATATTTTAGTTTAAATTTTTTTTATACATATGATTAAAGAATTATATATTAAAAGTACATTTTTATTAAAAGTTTTTAAAAGTATGTTTAATTTTTATTAAAGAAATAATGATTAATAACAGAATAATTATTATATAATATATATATATTAAAATAAATAAATCTGTTCACTAATTGACTAAATTTGAAACAATTTGCTAAATGTGAATCAAATTGCTGTATATTTATCTTAGATAAAGTGATGTCTAAAACATAATACAATTATTGTTAAAATTATTGCAATTGAACTAAAAGTATAATATATGGTAGACTTAGATATAAAAACTAATTTATATTTAATATCTAATAATACAATACATTGAATACAATAATAACCAAATTCTCTAAAATATTGATTAATATTTATAAATAGTTTTCTAACAAATACTGCCTTCTATTGAATGCATTGAAAGTTATTTCAAACAAAACACAGTTTTGACAACAAATTAATCAAAACATTGTTTTCAAAGACATTAAGTGATTACTGGATCAGACATCAGACATGAGTGACCTATCAATTGCATCGAGGATTAAATACAACAGAAGAAAAGCTAATACACGAGTCAACACATTTGACCAAAGAGTGATCACAAGAAAGGAGAAGAGTGGCCGAAGAAATGGCAAAAAATTGAAGACCAAATGCCAGATAATTGAAGATAATTTTGTGGTCAACACTGACTTCGACAGTCTTAACGATGACTGTCTGAGACATATTCTAAGACATATATCTTTTACCGATCGGTTCAGATGTATGCGAGTCTGTAAAAGATGGCAACTATTGCTGGAAGAGCTGCTTAACAATCAAATGGCTGTCGGAATGAAGAATATTACATATAATAGGAGTCAATGTTCTGACCATTCAATACATTCAAGACATTTAATGACGAGTCAAGACCTTATTGACTGTGCTTTGATTGTCGTTACCGAAGATGAGTTGAACGACAATGAGTTTGATCTGAGAAATGCAGTCCAAAGGTCTTTCAATCATTGTTACCGTAATTTGAGTCTAATATTCAAGAGATGTCCAAAATTATTATCACTCGACTTGCGGACCATTGATTTAGACGACAAATTAGTTGATTTAATCTCCAGATTTTGTCCTAAACTAGAATGTCTTCATTTGAATTCAATGATTATTACAGACGCCGTTTGGATGTCTTTAGCGCATCATTTGGCTAAACGACTAAAACATTTGAATATAAGAAACAGTATTCAATTGAATCAAAAACTACTGGTCGAGCACTTCATCCGAAGTTGTACTCAATTGAAGTGTTTGAAAGTCACCGAATGGAACCAAAACTTAAACTTGAAATGGTTTGACTGTATTTCTGAATCAGTCGAAGAAATTCATATTTCTTGCACTTCTGCTAATGGTTTTTTCAAA